GAAATTCGCGAAACAGTCAGCTTAGGTAGGAAGTTACGTTAAGGATATCGTAATAATCAATCACTCAAAAAGGCAATATTGAAGAGGTTCAGCGGTTCATGTCTTATCACATGTGCTAATAATCTTTAATGCATCCATGTGTCTCTAGCTCCCTATTATGACATCAATTCATTTACATCTGTGATTGGATTGTCCGAGACTATAAACAGGCTAATCACGGAAGGATGGTGCTAAGTAACTCTTGCAAATAGTTGTTTCCAATCAAGACAAAGGAATTATGGGGGATTCACCGATAAAAACAAGAAGGATTTCTACCAATGGTACAGCGATAAATATCCGTTGGAGTGAAATTTGTCCCCTCGGTCTCATATATGTTAGCAAGCGATGACCTATTTAAAGATTGGGATGCAACTACATGGGTAGTATTCAACTATAGGTATCACAGCTATGCAGCCTTGTCCGAAAAGAGAGTATGTGATTGTACAATGATACCTTTAGAAGAAAAGGCTTTGAAGCTACTTTCAGTGTACAATACCGTTGCCGTTGTTGGTGAGTTAACTGTGACGTCAAACCGTTGTCATTCGTCCTTTATTGGCTGCCTTTTTGCACGTGCTACACTAACACCGAGATGTACCACAGCAGTATCACACTTGTAAAACCCGCATTTAAAATTTTGCCGCCTCAACCCCCAGAAAAATATTAGGTAAGATTTAAACGGGGAATTTCTCATGACCTTGTGAAAGTCCCTATGCAAAAAAGAATGTGAGAAAGCCATTAACAAAAGCAAGTTATTAAACACACTTGAACTCAAAATCGGATCTTGTTTCAGCGTGTGCTTTATTTAAAGCACTCAAACTTAAGGACTCAAAAAAATGAAATAAATTGGACCCACCTGTCCTCGCATAACTGACATTTGTCGCTCAAAGTGATTTCTGTCAAATCCTTTGTCTTCCTAAAATTGAAGGAAATTCAAATTTTGATTACTTTTCTGAGAAAAAAAATGAGAAATAAATATCTAAGCTGATTTATTGGCTTGCGTCAAAGGGCTTGATTGGATTATTTGAAAGATATCTGATTGGCTGGTTGCTCATTCAAAAACGATTTGGTTCTTTCGGAAGGCACTGCACTGGATAGGTGATAGAAAAAGAGCCCAAATTGGCGGGAAAGAGTGACCAAACGAGGGACAGCCACGAGGTAGGAGGGCCCAACCCTGTATAAACAAGCAAATGCCTTCAACAGGGTACAGCATGGAACCTCGAAAAGGACGTTTGCTTCCAAGATACAGAGGTGGTAAAGGAGAAGTGCAACGGAAGGCAAAAGATTAACCAATAATAATTTGACTTATATACCGAAATCTCAAGAAAACTACTTATATTAATATTATCTATATATCTAGTACCCACGTTTTCACTTCGAGAAATAAAAAGGTCAATGTTGACAAAAGTTTAAAAAAGAAGCCTTATAACATGCAATTCTGATGAGAAAAATCGTTTAAATAAATACAGTTTTTAATACGTATGCCTATACGAATTTCAAGCGACAAGTTATTTAGAAAGCAAAATTTAAGTTTCAGAATGTTATGGGCACAGAAAGGTCGTAATTTCTTAGGGTGGAGGTCTACAGACCCAAAGAAATAAAGTTCGTGTCCCTGCCATGGCCAACCTTCAACTTAGAATGAGGAGAGTTGCCAGCTCTTTGTAATTCCGGTCGTAGTAATCAGGAGGTGTGGTCACATCGAGAGCAAAGGACCAAGGTACCATCCCAAAAGCACAGCTTCAGCAGGGATAGAGTGAGCACCATAAGATCTTGTCATACATTTACTTCTAGCAATGTTTCCCGTTTACTCATACGCGGTTATTACGCGTTTGGTGAGTTTTTGTGTCACGGTACGTTTTGCCATCGCGTTAGCGTCTTTGCCCTTTATTTCATTGCGGCTTGAGGAATTTCGCTTCCTTTTTTCACGGTTTCGCGGCCTTTTGACCCCTATTATAGCCCCCCCCCCCCTTAAAAGTACCAAATTATTTGACAAACAAGGTCGTGTTTTCTTTCAAGCGTTCGATAACCTCTCTACATTCAAAAGAAAAGTTCGTTTTCTCTGTAGAAAACTTCAACTATGTGATGGGTAGGCTATTGTTGGTTGGTCATAAAACATGGAACCAATCAACAACCTCTTCATCTTCTAGTGTAGATTCTCTTTCCGAAACAGGACATAAACTTTCGCTTTCTTTTAGCATTTTATCTGGCATTCTTTACTCTGTGGAACGCTATTGTGAAGTTCTGTAGTACCAGAATCTCAAACATAAGACTATGAATGTTTTGCAGGGGTATTGAATAGTTGTGAGACTTTGGCAAGCTATTCTTGATATCAAGTACTGGCATTAGACTCTTAACTCCTTTCGTATTTGTATGTAAATCTCGGTTTATTTCAAAACTGCCGCAATTGACAGACGAGACGCTCCCCATAACGCAGTGACACGCATCCTTTGTGCAGTGGATTCTGGCTGCCATGGCAACATAATTATGAAACGCTAAATTCTAATTTTATGGGTTCAGCTTTTATTGTTGACATATACCCGAGTTTTAGGGTGACACAGAATTCAATGCCTAGCTGAACTTTAAAGAATTAGATTACTTTGAAGTCAAAAGCGGATTATGGAAAAAATTATGGAAAATTTTTCATTATCATATTGTGTAACAACCAAATCATTGTGTCAAACTGACACTTGAAAAATATCTATCTTTATATCTATCTTTATGGTCACTCATTGCTCTATAAAAATTAAAGGAAAAGGTCACTTGACTTAAAACACCCAAACCAGAGATGTATCATTTTCTCACGAGATGAAAAATAGCCTGACTGGAACTAAAATGGTTTGGCTCTTTGCCCTTTCTGTGAATCCTTGATACGGGTTTTTGAAAAGTCTTGTAAATCTTGCCTTGTCAACCCCAAGGGCAGAAATGTAACCTTCATGCCAAAATGACCGACCGCCATTCCTACCAACCCGGACCAACTTTAGGCAGTAAACCATTATCCTTCACATTCTATCAGAATTGTTCCCGTGTGAGGACTGAGCAGTATCCTGAAGTTTACTGCTAACAAAATACACCCGCAATAGTGCAGAGAAATAAACATGTATTGAAAACATGCATCATTTATCTCTGCAACCCAACGTGATTACACAGTCACTGAAATTTTAACAAAGATGTTCAGAGGACAGAGATACCTGTCTGTTGTGTACAAGTATTGTTCGTCTGCTGCGAAAAAATCCTAAGGACATGTTCACCATAATCTAAGAGATATCAAGGTCAACTAAGAATTGTCACTGTGAACTAAGTAAAAATATCGAGAATATGGCAAGCTTTAGGATGAACCAAGAAACAATGCAGTAAACAATACAACATAGTAGAAGAAAAAAAACCAAGGCAAACTTTGGGATAATCAAAGGAATGTCATCGCAACATAAAAAACGCCACCAAAACTAAGAAAACTATTCTACACAAAGAGCAACCAACGTAGAGACCAAAACCGGTCTTTAACTAAAAAACCACGGTTGCCTAAGAAACATCACAAGAAACCACCGTAAACTATTAAAAACCATCGTTAATTACGAAAAACCATTGTAAACCACGAAAAATTACAGTTAACTAAAGGGTCTACGCTAAATTTGAAAGTCGAAAATCGAAAGAAAGAAAGAAAGTCGTGAACTATGAGCAAAGAAAGTCGTGAGCAATATAAAAACCTTAAAGGTAAAATAAAAAATGCACTCTCGTCTCTGTGGAAACTAAAGAACATACTCCCGCAATCGCAACTGGATCAGGTCTACAAGGCGCTGCTCGAGAGCCATTTGAGATACTGTGATGAACTATGGGACAAATTGTCAAACACAAAGCTCGATCATCTTCAGCGTTAACAAAACAGAGCGCGCACGCTAATAGAAGGCTCAAGATTAAAGGACGGGTGGAGCTGCAATTGGCTTTCGGTCTCAAATTTGATAAAATTTGACAGGGCAGTAATGATCTACAAAATAATAAATGGTCTCTGCCCTGACAATTTGAAAGGTAAACTTGTCACAAGATCCCAAATATCTAATTATTCAACAATAAATTGCCTTCACCTAGACATCCCAATTCTCGAAAAGGAGTTTTTTCTATTGTGGTGCACAGACGTGGAACGGGATTCCATTACAGATAGGAATGAGCTCCACGATTACCACGTTCAAAAAGAAATTAAAGGAATTCCTGCAAAATTAGCATCCTTTCCCGAAGCACGATCCCTAGAAAGACCAGCATTATATGTAAATTAATCTTTACTTTTTCTTTTTTAAACTTAGTACCTGATAGGGTTTCTGTGTATAAATATGATAAAATGAAAAATGAAAAAAAACGAAACGTCAGAATCTGAAAAAGCCTGAGCACAAGCTAAGAAACAACACGAACTGACTACCACCACAGGGAATGCCAACTAATAACCAAACTGTATACAACCTGCTTGTACGTAACTCTTAAAAAGATTCTTTCAATAGAATCATTTCAAGATCACACCCAAGCTGTGACAGGGGGCTTAATGATCAGCTTCTATCCCTCAAATCATTCCACTGCTAAAAAATGTGCTGCCCTTTTCGATTACCCCACTCTTACGATTTGATTGTTCCAACCAAGCTGCGATTATTTATACTTCTAGCAAATTCTGCTACATGACACCAGAGAAACCCATTTTTAGGCATGGGTACAAACGCACATAGCAAGAGGCTATACAAATTTATCATCTTTCTTCTACGAGACAAAGAATGGCAACTTGAAATAGTGAATTCATCGACAAATTCTAAAGAAAGCCAAAAAAACCAATCGTGATAGCAAGTGGTTGCAAGAATCTCGCTCTAAGAACACGTTTGTAACTGGAGACAATTTTTAATTTCGCTTTGCTAAACTTAGCAGCATTTGAAAATCAATTAACAAATAAGCTGTGAAAAAGATTCAATACTAAGTGAAGGGCATTCATTGCGAATTATGAAGCATAAAGCGAACGTAACATAGCAGTGAGGATTTGGAACTGTCTGTTTTCTGGTCGAATGTGTATATCATGTACGATGTCACCTCTTCTCTGCATCCCACTCATGAACTTGGTTTATAAGCTTGGTATGCCATTCTGATTCTGTGGTTTTTGATGATGAATTAAGGAGTAGCTGCGTGGGATAGGCCTCTTAATATATCTTCAATTTTGTCCACTTATCACAGTTGCAGTATCTTATTTCTGATCTCAATTAAATGATGGGCTTAGGACTTATCCAATCTTTCAGTAATATCGTTGAAAAATATTATGGAGAAAACGGACATTAGCAAGCACTACACCAAGGCAGCTTTAAGCATGCACAGTTAACAGAAAAAAGTACCGGACAGAAAGAGAGAAATGTTTGCAGGCTTCTGAACGGGTACCGAAAAAAAATTAGCTAAAACTCAAAACCAGGACATGCCTATGAAGGAGTTTTGAAGTAGCTAACGGCAGTCTTTTAGCAAACGAAGCCAGTAAAAGTCAAATTTAGATCTGTTGGTAATTGTGAAACTATCAGTAGGTTTTCTTTGCTACACTCCAACAGTAAACGTCCGTCGGCATGCAACTGTTTGAAGCCATGTCCTTTGGCATTCTTTTAGCAGTACATTACTGCTGAAATGAAAAGGTGTTCTAAAGAGCTCCTTTATTTCATTCACCCTGTCATTTTTCATAAGGGTATTCTACGCGAATCCGGAGACCTACTTTACCCCTCTAAGATTCAGAAGAGGCTGGTTGTCTTAGGGATCAAGTACACAGTCAGTAATACTGCAGCTGGCCATCTTACTTCAGCATGAGCCTTGTCAAAGCGATGTAAAAGATGTGACCATAGAAAAACCTTCATGGGAGAAGTTTTCATAGAATAAGTTTTCATAGAATAAGTTTTCGTATAATAAGTTTTCGTATAATAAGTTTTCATAGAAGAAGTTTCCATAGAATAGGTTTTCATAGGGTGATAATGCGATTGTAAGTGTAAAGTGTAAAGTGACAAACGTAGATTTTAAAGAAATACGAGTGATCCAGTGGAAATCACAGCAAACCAAGTCGTCTCACCAGATTTTCCCAAATAAACCTCTCTACAAGGATGTAGGGAGATATCAAGCAGAATAAAATCAGAACGCACATAACAAAAGGTGTAGTGCTCAACTTAGGTAAGTTCTCGAAAATACAGGAGTCTATGATGACTAAAACTGTCGACAACTAATAGCAATTTATCTGGACAAAGGTATGACTGAAAACAACGTGCTTATAGGGTTCACTTGCATAACAAACAGAATCAACAAGGTTTCTTCATAACAAATTGGTCCCAAAATATGATTGTCTAGACTCCTACACGATTGAAATCATACACCTCTATTTTTGATTCTATTCACATAAGAGACATATAAGTTGACAAAGCAAACTTTGCCAGCAATCTCACGTGTGAGTGCATGACAACAACAGCCTACAAACGTCACAAGGTTTTAACATAATACTACTCCAAGCCAACCGTTGTTAAACAGTATCACAAATAAAACAATAAGTCATTTAGATTAATGACTTACATATCATTTGTCTATCGAGTATACAAGATTAAATTTAATACACCACATAAGGTCTTGGGGCATTTGTAGGCGTGTTTCTTTTCACGTCTTCCAAGCATAATAGAGAAAATATAGCCAAGCGCTTCAAATAGTACGCTGATCAGGGTTGCAAGATCGGAAAATGTGATTAGGCACTTTTCACGGTTTTTTTAAAAACTTCAGGGTGGAGGGGACAGTAGTACTGAAGCTTCCAAGTGCAGCAGAAATGGATACGAAGTTGTTTATCTTGCACTTCTTCAAAATCTATTTCTTCTGTGATACTGTTGCGAAAGTATTGTTCTCACATTTTCTCAAAGTTTATATGTCAACAAATCATGGATTTCTTTAAGGTAGATAAAAATACATCTGTGATACTTTCCTCTGAATTTGTAGCATAGTTCTTGAGTTACCATAAACTGGCAATGTGCTTCAACCAACACAGGGTGCTTCAACCAAAAAATGGTGCTTCTACCAACATAGGCAATCATTTCACGAGAAAATAATCTGACTTTTCTTTAAGAAAAAGAAACTTACCCTAAAAAGCTCATATAAATCTGCAACTAGGTCTTCTACGAAATTCATATCAGATAACTTTGGTAAAATCATCTCTTTAATTTGTTCTGTAAATGGAGTTTTTGCATATGGCAACCAAACCCAATGGTAAGGGTCTGCGGAGGAAAATATTGCACTGATAAGGATTCAAAAACATTAGCAAATATCATTAGAAATTTAATATACGTTAGAATGCGGCATGAAAGTACATTCATACTGCAACGTATATAAAAAAGGGTAGCTATACGAGAGAGGCATTAAGGTCCAGGGGAGAGGCATTAATCAGAGCCATTTTCACGCATATTTGTCCGAAGGCGTCCAAAACATTTCACGAAATCCGAATTCCAAAGAGCTCTTGGGGAAATCCATTTGTCAAAATTTCCGGATAAAAATCTGGGATGATCGGATGTTAGGTATTTAACATACCAATATTGAATTGTTGCTATAAGTTACAGAAAAGATAAAATATCCTCCACTTTTGATATGTAGAAAAGCCATGCCAAAACCATTTATTTAGACATTGCTGTGTTCAAAACTAATAAGCAAAATTTGATGTAAAGTTCTATGTAAATGTAAATTTGATGTATAATAAAGCCAGGTAGTACTACGTCTTAGAAAGAAAAAAGTTCAAAACTGGAAAACATTGACAGGCAAAAAACAACGTCCGGGTAAAGTAACAACACGGATATTACCTTACGATTAAGATTAATATTTTCTTGCTTAAGATTACCTTTTTCAACCAACTATATTTTCGGAAAATACAGTTTGTAAGAAATTGTTTCACATAAAATACATTTCACAATTTATACCACGCGATTTAAATTTCATGTTGTTGATCATTTTTAAGTCGGTTTTGCTAGATAGAGGCATGGGGGGTGTGTAGCAAAGCCCCTGCAATAGAAGGGAGGGAGAAGCCAAGAAGATGGGGAGGTGAGATCAAGTTTGTTGACTTTAATTTTGACAGGAGAAAATTGATAAGACTCCGAAGCAAAAATAGGGTAAAGCGTTTGTTTATGATGATGAACGGCCGAATCTTTCCGTCTACGCCTTCAAGGCCTTTTGACAGAAGGAGCAGTTAAGATTTGAAAGTAGAGTATCAGCCATTCAGATCTATAAACTGCAGCAAATGTGTTCGTTTGGTTTAACATGCCTGCCTCGCTGTACAGGCATGCCACGTGAGGGGGAAACTCCAATTGGCAGTAGAGAAATAGAGACACGAGGCATTGAGAATTTATTGACAGTTATACAAAATCGAACCAACACAACAGCTGAAAAGGTACACATTAAAATGAAATATTTGTATACCAAATAATAGTACTGTGCTGACGTTGAATTTGAGAAAACGTTTGTTTACCAAACGTTGGAAGCAATGAAGAAAATAAAATAAATGGGAATGTTTGATGATTTGCACTCGGGGAATGAAAAATCTATTTGGTTAGTCAGTTATGAACTGCACACCAGCATGTCTAAATTATTTGACAGCCTTTGGTCTAAGGTTGATAAATGACAAAACCACTAAAGAAAAGGTGCATGATTTTTGGCGTGTGAAAGAGAATTCCTTGGGAAGGTGTATCAGGAAGAAAAGTGATGTAGAGTTAGAAAAAGCCAGTTAGAGCTCTGGCTTTGACAGGTAGAGCTATGACCAATAAACAGATTCGATATTCTAATAGAAAAACAAGGTCATACGAGCTCCTACGACATGAAAATGTCTGTTTCACGTAAGCAGATAATACCGACTTATTAACTTTAATGTTTTATCAAATAGCTAGGCAGCTAGATTGTCCAAAGATTGTTTTGGTGGGAGAACAGTAGACACACGACTTTTTTCTGGAACTGACTGATATAGTCTCGGAAGTAGATTCTTTTCTATTAAGTACCTCTCTAGATACTTTATTGCGTAACGTAGCAAAGTAAAATAGAATTAGCAAGATGGAGGTGGATGGATGTGCCATGAAATTTCTCATTTCTACTAAACTTCTGAATCATGGAGCACAGCAAAAATCGACAATAATCACGTAACAATAAAACAATTTTTCTTTTTGGACACAAGGCTGTATCTTTAATGCTGAAGTTGCACCTTTGCGATGCACAATTCTCCGAAATTACCACCGAGTTTAGCCTAGATTTAACAGTATCTGAAATATTCTACAGAAGCAGTTACGATACAGGGTCCTAACGCCATGTCAATTAAACGGCCAGAGAAAGGCCATTCGGAGTACAATGAAATAGAGTACCACACCTAAACACCCCCCTATTTACTTTGCTTTCAACAGAAGGTTTCAACACTTGACAGAATTTTCCAAATGGAAGGACCTCGACCGGTATATGACGACAATAAACGAACCTGTAACAACTGAAAGAACGTGTTGTCAATATTTATTAAAAATATTATCAACTTGAACAAATAGTCCTTGCCCTGATAGAGTTTTGAACGTTACAGAAGAGATTATCAAAGGCTTACTTGAAATCAATAAAAAGAAAGAAAAACATTTTGTAGCACTCTTGAACTCTATTTGTTTTGTGATCACAATCACGTGGGTACTCACATGCTCGCCAAGAATCAGGGTGTTTGAATGGAAAGGCTAGGCCATTGTCAATGGCAGCGATGTTGATTTTAGGAACAGCAACGACATTCCAGTCTTCTGAATGTTTCTCGGAGTCGTTCGGATCCTAAAAGGTGAAATATCGTTAACAACTTAAGCTTGCATTCGGCTTGAGATATTAAGGTTGTTAAACTACCAACAGAAAGCTGAGATTGTTTAGAAAACGTTTTGGAAAATGTGATTTTCAAGTAAATCAATTAAATAAAAGTGAAAAAGTGAGACAGAGACTTTCTTTACACTTTGATACTTTTTAAAATCACGTTCTCAATAGAAGAGATAAAATTTAAACTTCACAATATTTCAAATTGTGATCATTTTTTACCGTGGAGTTTGTGTATCCCTTCAATTCATGTAATCATATCAAAATTGCTAAGTTCATTTCGCTTGTACAAAATTTTGGTTTTCGACATCCAAGTTTCTTTTTCTTACTTATTACCAATATTTAATTATTTTTGTTGTGGGGCGATAAGAAATAATTTTTCAAATCATAATGCTGCCAAAATTGATGTTTCTTTTGTAAATGTAAATTCAATCCGCTGTAGAAGTTTGCCTAGGGAAGATTTCGGCCTAGGTGCTTTATAAAATGGATTCAAATCAATGGCGGGCTTGAAAAGGCTGTCTGTGTTCCCTGTTACTGACACAGGATTTGTCAAAAACAGAAACCTTCGCGGTCGCTATGAGAAATGCCCAACATAACTAAAAAAAATCCAGCAAACAAGCGTGTTTGGTTCCCCGCTTCAGAAAATTCAGCGTTTCATATAGCTGCATAACAGAAGCATATTTATCCTGGCAATTTTTCATATTCGTGTCCTAATGCAATACCAAAGTTATAGTTATAATGTTATCTATCATTCAGAAACCTGGCAACTTGGGAAAAATTTGTGTTGTTCGATTATGTTCTTGGTATCATTTAACAAAAAAGCAAAAACAATTTCAACCAACAATCACATAAAACAGAAAACATTGAATGGATAAATGTGACAATCTAACGTTTGGTATGAATGCAAAGGCATTTAAACAGGGCATCTTTAGCACCAATGTTCAAATGATGAAATATACCATCTTGAAATTCTATAGTACCAAAGGTAAATCTCGTTGCTTGTCGTAATATCCAAACAAATTATTATTTGCTCTGCCAAATGTATTTCTGACTACAGAAAGCTTTCACCGAGCATATGGTTTTTGTGTACGTTCGATACTTTTTTCCAATCTCTTGGAATTATTACCACTGATATAAGGTAATTATCTTGAAATTATTGTCGTCAAACTATTTTGCTTTCTACGTTTCTGAAAGATCAAGATTTACCAGGAACCTTGACTCCATGCAAAATTATTCGGAAACCTAGAAATTGGATTAATGAATACCATATAACTTTGCTAATTGAACTTCAGCTTAATTTTCGAAAAACCATTATGAATTTCGCAATGAGTGTTGGCTTAAAACGTTGGGAGCATAAAATTCACGGTCATGAAAAAAATCGAGATTAAAACAAAGGTGAAGCTATGAAGCATCATTGGGCACTCTGTTCTATTCAAATCGAAGCAGGTTTAGTCATCCAAGCATCGAAGCATCGTTTTTCTGGACTCTGTAAACAAAGCTAACAAATAAATAAAATGTAATAAACGCACTAGTACCTGGCAGTCTGATTGGTCACATTCTATGCACGTGGTTCTTTCAACAACCGGCGTATTTTCGTATTTTATTAACCAATTATCATTGCCTCTATCTATGGTTAAAATAAAAACATGTTATGATATCAACATAATAATTGGTTTCACAGACGAATTGATACGATTCTGGTTAAGTAACATAAGTAATATAAACGATTCAGCTAGCTCATTACATTTTCAAGCTTTACGTGTCTTAAGGATTTAAAATGCCTTACTACAAGTCAAGGAAATATCTAAATACGATCAAAAGATATAAAAGAAAGGTAAGTCATGCCTAGTCTGTACGGTAGACCCAAGTTCTCATTGAAGAGTACTCTAAGGCGTGCCCTATAGATAGCGAACCAACGATAGCCAATCAAACACGGACTTGAGATTTGCAAGTGATCAGTTCGCGACATGAAAAATAGCCTGTTTATGGAATGATGCATATTATTCTAAAAAAAAGCAACCAAACTCCAAATGTTATGATTTGTCTATGACAAAAAAGAAAACGATCAAACCATTCAAAATGTTGTTATTTTTTAGAAAAAATCATAAAAGACAAGGACTGAAAAATATTTTGAGCAGTAAAGACAATAGCACCCTTACCTGTATTTCTTATAACATAATCAAGAACAACTAATTTTTGAAAAAGAAATTGGAACTCCTTCATCGTTTCTTCTGGTGGAGATTCAATTTCGAAGGTGCGTAGATAAAATTCAGCATCTTTATAACCCTCAACAAAAAGCTGGAAAGAACCAATCTAAAACGAAATTGAACGCATGAAAAACTGCATGATTTTATATCATTACTTTCAAACACCAAAGGAAGATGTTTTAGTTTATAAGCATGAAACACTGCGCATTATACTTTATTAAAATAGTTGTCATAATTAACAATTAAAATAGTTTATTAAAATAATTTAGGCCGAATACCGGATTGTTGCATGGCAACACAAGAACTAAACATGGTTGACAAGAATAGGTAAAACGACAAGGAACAACTGAATATCAAGAAAAACGATTTGAAAAACAAATAAATTCAAAGTTAACTATGAATGCGCCTTGGCATACAGGTTCCATGTCTGTTACTACAATGAAGCCACATTAGCTGCCATTAACTCTGATTTCTAAAGTTTGGTTTTCAAAAAATATTTTATTATGCAACTTTATTGCATAGAGAATAGAATAATTCTTCACGGCAGTTGTAAAATGAATTGTTTAACATATCTAAATATACACAAATTAAACAAAACTGGTGCAAAAATTAGCAAAAAAACAGCCAATGATGAGCATGAGCGGGTAAAATAATTTCTTACTTCCTTTTCTAAATTAATTATTTCATTTTATGATTTCCCACATATATGGTCTTTTGCTCAGAGAAACTCTTATAACAAGTTGTTCACTCACCTTAGGAGGCAGTCCAGCCCTTACGTGTTTACCAATTGAATCGGGAAATCGTTCTGTTGCAAACTTTTTTGATCTTGCTTTTGCTTTGTCTATTGCAGTGTAATTGAAAGTTTCACTAACAAGACTGACAACCTAGAGACAAAAAAATTTAAATTATGTACTTTAGCCAGCAATATAAGCAAGTTGCGAACAAAGTTAATCAAACAGCCAAGGCTTTATTAGACACTTTGTGTCTAGATTGTCTAGGACGGTCAGCACAGGTAAATTTTAACATGTAGGGGGAGCTGAGAGCGGAGCCTTCTATCATAAAACAAACACGTGTTAGCTAAACCCAACTTTCATTTCACTGATAATATGAGATTTTTTATCATTTTGATTCATTTCCTATTAGGAATGTATTTTTCTTACTTAAGAGCCAAAAAGTGATGAAGTATCAAATAATTCCTGTTTAAAATTGGCAATATATTATTACCTTGCAGAGAAATAACAAGAGAATGACTTAGAGTTCACCAAGGACTTCTGTAATTTGGTCTGTTTAAAATGTTTAAATCCAAAAACAAATTACAGTTTACGGATGGGTAATGAGCTTATTCTGCTATATCTTGATCAATATTGGTTAGGTTCGACCATTCTATCATTTGCAGGATTGTTCCATCATGTCCTCTTTCACGTCCTGGTTGCTTCTACCGCGTACTGTTGGGCCGCATAATAAACGACCCTTTTGTTATTTCCGACTTATAGTAAAATTGTCGCTTTTTATATACACTTAACTGAAGATGACCCTAGCTAGTGTCAGAAAATCAAACATTGTGAAGCAACTCGTGGAAACGAGCACAGTCTGTTGCTTCCAAAATTGAAATCTGAAGCAGGACGGAAAAGGTTTGCCTTCTAGGGTGCCAAAATATTCAATAGAATATTTGACTTTTAACATTTTCTTCAGACCTAATCATTGTATGTTTCTTTTATAAATCATATTGTAAACATATTTGAAAAACATATTTAGACTATTGTAAAACATTTTATTGTAAAATTATATAAAATAATAATTGTGAAATATTTTAGGAAAACTTTTTAATAATGTCGATCCTTGATTACTGATAAGTTGTCAATTGGATAAAAGACAAAAGACATGTTGAAAAAATACAAATGTATCTCTTTTTCGTCGTGTTAATCATCTGCACCATTTCAAAATGCTTTTTTCAAATTGCATAAACATCACTTATGATATCATCACTTCTAAAATGATTCCGGATCCATCTAATAGGTGAGCGTGATGACTAACACTAAAAGGAGCAATGAATTGAAAAGCAATGAACTTTTGATGAAAATGGCCGCTTTTGGAATCTTAATATGGCGTTTTATTTTTGAGTTACTTGGAATTTCCAGTTGAAGATGATGACGTCATTTTGTTTGCAAAAAGCTCTCAACACAAAAGAAAATGGAAGTATATCTTAAAAAACAGGCAATCAAAGGATATTCAAAGTTATTCAAAGCAGCCTGTTGGATAGCTCCCGGCAATTGCTGTCATATTAACTTACTGCTTTGAATTATGTTTTGAAAAAAAAACAATTATTATCAATTTTATGAACTGTACTGATACTTTCATAAACAGATTGCAAACAAAATGATGTTGTCACAAAAAAACTTAAATGTTGAATAACGAAAATATGTGCAAAAATCTTGTCAAAATTTTTTTTGATGCTGCAGACCTTTAGATTCATGAAATAAAAATTTTTAATTCATTGCTCTTTTAGAAAAAATCTATATAATATTTATATATGTGTTTGGGCAACAACGGCCGTGTTTCTTTCAACCTAAAGCTGCGAGACATCACCCCCAATATATTGAAAAATATATCATAAATCATTCACAATAATTATGTCTTGCAACAAGTATATAATTCAATATATTATAAACTTATTTCAATTGAGACCCCTGATCATTGAAAAAGACAGACAAATGTAAAATATCAATAATTTTAGGCCTACAAAGGAATAACATGCAAGAAGCTCATAAATGACAATTATGTCCAGACCAATTAAATACCCAAGACAATCCTGAAAGGAAAACCAATTCATCTTTATCACATGAAAAAGCCATCAAAATGGCAGCATTAGAATAAACTGATTGGGAGTGCAGCACCTAGGACCTGTTTGTTCAATTGCTTTATGCTTTTTTTTACTGTTTTTCACAATAAAGTGATTAATCAGAGATCTGCAAACAGCAGGTAAACTTGTTTACAATTTTCACAACTGCTACAGGTACCTGTTGTTTGTTTAAGATGAGAACTGAAAACAAGGAAATATGTTCTGATACCTTTATACATTATATAAAGGTTAAAGAGTTGCTTGCTTCATAAGCATATCTCATACATACATCTCAGACATCTTTCTGTACCCTATTCATTAGTTTTGGGAATCACAAAAATACACAGGAAAAAGTATATTTGTTGGAATGTTTGAATCAACATACTTACTTTGAAACCTATTTAATACTTTCAAGTTCAGTAAAAAGAAGTCCTAGCAAAGAAATACAAACCACCCAAAATCCAAAACAATTGCAAACAAGAAAATTATCTGCCAAAGGGTTTATTATTATAGCCAAAAGGGATTACAATTAAATAACTGCAAATAGTATACTTGTTACTTCACAAAAAATATCTTGAAAACATGCAATTGATTGCACTTTGATCTAAATACAGTTGAACCCGCATTAGACTACCTGGACCAAAAAATGTAGTTTGACCCATGCCAATTCTGACTTATAGGTACGTCGCATGTTTTCAACTTATGCAACATTTGAAAAATCGTAAATCCTAAACTTTGCCTCTTTGTTATTCAAACAGAGTTTTTGAATGGAATATTTAGATATATGTGGTTTAGTAAAATTTTGCACAGTAAATCAAACAATATTCAAGGAGGTAAAACATGATTGCTAGAATGATAAAATTATCATGTCACTGGTATTCTGAGCCAATGATTGATGAGAACCTGTGTGTTATGTGACAAATTGTATTTAGGTAACTTGGTACCTTTGTTATGGTTGTCAAACTCAATGGTACCAAATTACATAAATATGATAAAATCATCACTTCTCTAGATACAATAGCTTCAAAAATTACCCGTGTTTTTGGAACAATATTCAATTCAAGCTTTTCATCAACCAAACTTGCACCAGCTTCTGATAAATACCCTTGATTTGGAACCAGACAGCTTCTTCCAAAACAGCAAGGACAGCAAGTCTTATGCATCCACTTTGTCCACTTGGGATTCAAATGTCCATATGGTTCCTCATTTTTTGGTTTGAAAACACCAATATTTCTCTAAGACATGTAGAAAATTGCAAATTAAACTTCTGGGTATAATTCAATAACTATTTCATTAACTTGATTTAATTATTTACTATGCAAATAATAAAATAAAATTGTAATGAATTCTTTATGTAGGGTATAAGCTAGCAAGTAGCAGAACATCTTTCTCTAAAGACACATGACATGTTTCAAAATCAATGTCGGTTCTTGCATGTTTATTTTTTGTTTACATCAATGGAAGCAGTGTGATATCATGCAAATGGTTAGAAAATAAGATGAACATGAAAATTTACAACCACCCCTTTCCTTTGTATAGTATGTATCTAATGATAGTTGATATGCATTTTGGCTCATCTTCGTACAGGTCTGCCTATTTTTGAGAAAATGTGGTGTAAAATGAAATACAACAAGTGTTACATTTGTGAATTTCATTGAAGTGATGTAATGTGATTTACACATTAAACATTTGCAATATCCGTAAATCTATTGAAACAAAATCAGAACCATTATATCAACATTTACATACCACCAAACCATTTACAAACCATTATAAGTTTACATAAGCTGCAAATAATCAAACCCAGTTATCAAATTTCAAATAGAAATCAACATATGTAACTAAATAAACAATATGTCAATGCTACATATTTACTGTTAATTTACACATGATAGATGTTTGAAATTTGAAAGGAGACAGGAAAGAAATTTAAATTTAGTTTCAGTTTTGTTAATTTTAGTTTCAGTTTCATTTTAAAAATCAGTTTCACAACAATAATTAACAGAGATGATACAGGTAATAAGATTATAAAATATGAAAGATAGAAAATTATTTTAAATAATTACAGAAAATTGGTAGACATTTGAATGGAGGGTAATTTGTTAAAGAGCTGGGGCTCTCTAATAGATAAACTAATTGAGGAGAGAGAACCCATTATAAACAGATCATACTGTGTTATTTGATCAGAGATTTTTAATTGGAGTCGACTGGTTTTACTAATAGACTGATTACTGTAAAAGTTATCTGCTTGACTGAGTGTCAAGTTTATTTACTTTGAAATAGGAAGCTAAACTTTTTCCATACAATTTTGAAGCTATTATTTTGCCTTTTAAGTTGATTTTTACAGCAAAATTCTTTTTTGAACTGGGACTACAAACCATCATCTTAAATCATGGTAAGAGTTGACAGTCTAAGCTACATTAAATCTGGTTGTTAAAGAAATATTTTCAGTCTTTTTGACTTGACGAAAGTGAAAGCTCTAAGATTTTCAGTTGCTGTCATATTGCATACAAAACTGTAAATATTGATTCAATTTCAAATCTGTTTATGTTAATTTTGCACACTCAAATTTTGCAAGGATTATTCTTCAGACAGGATAAAGGAGTAATTAAACGAGTAATACATTATCATGATGGCTCATCAGATTTCTATCTGATTCACTCAGGCTTCTATGGTAACTTGCTTATCAGTTTGGTTTGATATGGTTCTACTCAGTCTGTTTTAACTCTCTACATACTGTTTGTATGTTTCCTAAGGTAGAAAATTAAAAACGAAAAATGAAGAAAACTGACAAGAGGGTGCAGAAAACTAAAAATTATACATAATATATACATAATAATATTTATCAGGGTAGGCCAATACTGTAAACTAACAAAAGAGCACCCATGGATTAATATGTGTTATTAAATTTAGTAACATTACTAATCCAATTTTTAGATTAGTCAATTATAAATCAGAAATTTGAGATGGATGTGGTGTAAGCAGAACAAAATCAAGTCCTACATAAAATTGCCATTAGATTCTTTAAAAATCGCATTACACACATTACTTGGGTTGGCACTTTATGATGGGATAATGAAAGCAAAGTATCTAAAGAGTGGTTCTGAGTGTATATTTGTCGCCACCTTCTAGCTATCGATGTCGACAAGTGACCGGGGTGCGTGCGTGCCTATCATGCAAAATCGGATACACCCATTTCTTAGATGAATGGGGGTAGGGTAGACAATCCTCTGGGGGTGCAGCATTTAAAAATTAAAATCTCTTAATAATTTAACATACCTTGGATTTGTTTTTAACAAAATAACTGCCACTGCTGCCTTGATAAATCCTTTCGGGTAAGACTCCCTGATAAATCGCTTCTTCAGCGGCCCGATAAACAGTCCTGAATTCAGGGTCGTCCAGAGCAGGTTGATGGTGAATATGGTCTGAATCACTGTCCATAGTCCGGTTAAGTAATGGGCTTTGCTCACTACAGCCTGGACTATAACTGTTTACAGTGTCCAGCTTGGCTTCTATTTGAGTCGAAGTTCGTTTATTATCGGGGTAAGAGGCAAGAAGGTCTTCCTCTTCAACAAAGCTTACCAGTCGATTCTCGGCTCGTAACTTCGGCTTTGGCATTTGTTCCCTTGAGTGCACCTCCTAATCGGTGACCAGAAGTATTGTTAAATTTTCGGAAAAGTTACTATTGTTTAAAACCATAAGATGATGACAAGGACAAACAGAACAATAACATACAAGCCTAACAACGTTCACCACGAACAAGCAAAGTTATTTCTTTTACAGGATGACGTACTTAGAGAAACATGTTGGCACGTGACAAGATCGTAAACTCGTTCTCGGCTTTCAAAACAGAGGCTACAATCCCGGACAAAAATAGAGTTCTAAAGTGATGACGTCACAAAAATCTATTTTTAGAATTGTTTAATTTGGATCTCAAAACCTGAAAGAGCATCATGAAATACCTCTAAATGTGCAAAATCAGGCAAGTGTATTACGAAATGGCAGAGATGTGGCCACATGTTTATTGGTTCTCTCCCCATCAAACCTCTGTATTTTGGTCTCTGTTCATAACTTTATGATCAGAGCCAAATTAACAGTGATTCGCTAGCAAAAATCAAATCTTTCATTAGCCATATCTCAACCGATTTTAGACATATTTGGCCAATTTTGCGTATTTGAAAGTATTTCATTACGATCTTTTACGCTATTGGTTAAAATTCAAAAATTCTAAAAATAGGTTTTTGATGACGTCACATTTTAGAACTCTATAGGTGAGACCTTTAGAAAAATGTTTATGTTTACTCTTTCCATTGAAAAGTAACCCCCCCCCCCCCCCCCCCCCCCTCAATGTTGAATGCATGTTTTGGAGGCACAAATTATAGAACTACTAACCCAACATTGATTAGATAGGAAAGGGGGATTCGAGTTTACAGAGGCAACGTAAAAACAAAAGTGAAATATTAGCATTTTGTCTCATAAATTTTGTCCGGAATGTAGGTTTTCAGAACTGAAAATAGCTGAAAAATGTTTGTGAGTATTTTGCAACATCCATTTTCACCAGGCGATGCATGTTTCCATTTTATAAACAGAAGAGTAGCAAAGCATACTAAAAACCTACCAACATCGTGCTAAAGACTTTATACCGAAATTCATACTGAGAAACGGCCATGTTCTTAGCAAAATTTCTTAATTACTTCGATACACAAAGCAAGCCGAGGAGCAAGCTTCTATAGGTATGGAGACTTTTCAATCTTTTTTTTATTGTGAAGATTTAGAATTTGTGTGACCATTTTAGCTGAATTTCCTATAAATTACAGTTTGATTAGAGAAATTAGACAACGTTCGAAATGAGATAGAGTTTCGCATTTGCGATCAGCAGTCAACTATGTACAAAATCTTTAACTTTTTCAGTTATTGTTGGATTTACAACTTATTTGTCTTCTCAGATTCCCTTTCTCACCCGAGATCAGATGCATAGTTTTTCAGTTCTAGATAACGAATTGATTAAGGCGATTTTATCAACTGATAATCGAGCGAGGTTTTCCATTCACACTGCTACAGACCCCACTAATTAATTTTTTTGTTAACATAAGCACCACTATTTAATTTGCAAAAAAGAAGGAAGACGCCCCAACAATGCTACAATTTCGAATCAGTAATTTCAATTTACAAGACATTATATACAAAACCAATGATTAATAAACTAACTGTATTTCTTAAAGCCTTGATTCATCTTCTCATGTTTGTAAATTACTTATAATACGGCTATTTCCTGTTCTTCCTGAATGCAATTTAGCGGCTCTTTCGCGAGTTTTTTCAAGCTCCGACCAACGCAGCTCTTCCAGGTTTTTCTACAAAAAATTATATCAATCTAAATCAGACCCCAATTAAAAGTAGAAAGAAAGAAATGTACTCTAAATTGAAATTATCTTGCCATCAACCGAACAAATCTAAGTTATACGAAGACACTATTTCTTATGAAAACATTTTGGAAAACGCCATTATGTTAATAAAAGTAAGTTATTTCTTGGAAAAGTCGAAAGGAACAGGTATTTTATTTTTACGTCAACAAGTTGTGTGTAAAATATTGTTTACAAAAACCATACTTTTTAGTATACGCTTCTTTCGAAAGAAATGAGTCGTTCGGTGCTGACTGCAAAGCTTCAAGTAATTCTGATTCATAAAAAGAAATTCATGTACAAGGAAATTAAAACCTTACACGCTTTTATATGCTCTATAATATATAGTTTCGTCTTATATATCATTTTCATCAAGTTGGAAACATTTGCAGCAATCAGAGACATAAAATGCTTCTATTTACCTTTTCTTTCAAGAGTTCTTTCTGCCTCGTACTTCGCACGGGTCTAGTTCTTTGGTTCTGGCTTTCTCTTTGTCTTTCTGTAGAATAAAAACATGAGATTCGATGATCAGATTTAATCTGCCACTGATTTAATCAAAAACACAAATCATCCTTCCTTGGGGCAGAATTTTCTTTTTTCATATTTTGTAATCTTAACATTGTAATCTTAGATTGGAAATAACTTTGCCAATTCTGTAGGATAATTATCGAGTAAAACAACATCTTTGAAAGCGGAGATCCGAAAAGCTGGTGCTCAAGTATTCCTTAGAAATCAGTTCCTCGAAAATTTCTGATGAAAAAGCAACATTTTGTAAAGACACAAACGTAAAATAAAAATTGCAACAGTATGAGCGTAAAATACAAAACAGTTGCACGGTACCAAGACTGCAAACTTGAACAATGCTGTTTAAGGTAGATATATTAAATTTCATGAACCTGTTCTTTTTTCCAAGAGCCTCTGCTGAAGCTCAAGGACTTTTTCATCTTTGAGCTCTCTTTGCTTTTGTCGCTTCCTTTCTTCCTCCCTAGATTAAGAGTGACCTTGATATTTCACAACCAAAAACAAGTAAGATGAAGAACCTATTTCCTAGAAACATAGAACTTAAAAATGGCTTTGAAAAAAGCAAACATTTAGTAAACTAAAGCTTTTCGTCTGACACTCTTCAGAGTTTAAAACTTCAGAACAAAGATCGAAAACTCTACGCTAGGAAATATATATACCCAGTTGCTGATCGAGGTAGGCCAATCAGAAACACGAGCACATGACTGTTGAGGTTGACCGTTTTAAACTCTGAAGAGTGTCAGACGAAAAGCTTTAGTTTACTTAATGTTTGCTTTTTTCAAAGCCATTTTCAACCGTTTTGTACCACCAAAAGATTGTAAATATAGAACTCTAGTACAAATGAACCTATCATTGCAAAAAATAGCAAAATAAAAACAAACCCGGCCCTAGTACTAAACATTTTAGTGCATTCATTCATTCAAAACTTAAAAACTTTTTCAAAGATCGATGACAAGGGCAATAAAAACCTTCCAACAAATGAGATTACAAGTCAACCTTGCTCTTATGTTTTCACAAGAGATAAGCTTCCGCAACATTTCACTTTTTTCCTAGCACAGGGACAAAAGTTTCGAAAGGTAGCTTCTTATTCCCATATAACAAGAAGCAAGAACAAGTTAGTAATCATAGTTTGCAATCAACGTACCTCTTTGCATTTTCTTTTTCTTTTTCTGCTCGTCTTTGAGCTATACTTTCAAGAGTATCCATAAGAAATTGATCTTTGTCCTGAAACAAAGAATATTATTCTCAACGTTTTAACATGATAAGGATTCAAACACGATAAGGATGAGAAAGAAAGTTGGTTTCCATTCTATCTCTGTTTTATAACTCACAGCTTCCTCAGTCCGAATGGACTTCTTTTCAGAGGGCCTGTATAACATGAACTGTAGACAAAAAACTAACAATGAGCCAATGAATGGCTTAAGGATACGCTCACACTGCTCCATATTCGTTTCGCTCCATTTTCGTTGGTGAAAACGATGTCCGTTTACACTTATCCGTTTTCAAATGAATACGACTCAATTACGGTAAGTGTTCACACTGCTCCAACAAAAATCGTGAAAAACTTTGTTGTAACAGCTACCAGTCCATTGTGAATTCTCAATTTCAAAATTTTTTAGATTTGGTGTGCTAGAAAGCACGTATTTTGTTGCCTTTGTTAGCGTATTCAAATTTCTCCGTTTTTGGTGTTCACACTGAAAACGGAGTGTATTCAATACGTATTCGAAAGTATCCGTTTTCATAAGCGTTTTCAAAGGAGTCCGTTCTCAAAGCAGTGAACGCAAAACCAAGGCAAAAACGGTTTAGTTTGACTTCGTTTTCATTTGAAAACGGAGTAGTGTGAACGGGCCTTAATTCTGCTTTTGAAAGTAGGATGAGGATTAAGTTTTAAAACATTGCAGTTGGCAATATCGTTTACATAGACAATCCAACACAAATACTGTTATAAACTTTGAAGGTTTTATTGACATCATTATTATTTTAAGCATAATTTTAAGCTGTTTATGTAAAGAAATACAGCTTTGAACTTTCAGAAAAAAGTGGATACAGAAATACTTTTATGATCACATGATGTAAAATGTAGAGAAAATCACGTACTACTTTCGCTTGAATAATTTCCTGTCTTTTCTTCTCCTCTTCCTCCTTCTCAGCGACTTTTAACAACGATAACCTTTCTTTTAGCTGCAAAGAAAAAAATTTATCTAATTAAACTCTTTTCAAAAGTGTCTAAAAATCGTCGATGCGTGGAAACTGTAAAATTATAAGATAATTCAGATTACCATATATATTTAAAACAATTTACCGTGGGATTTCATGACTCTCACTTTTCTCATTATCTAAGCCATCACAAACAATTATTTTCGTGCAAATTTAGAAAAACATTATGCGGAAAACGTTTAACGATGAAGGTGTTTCAAAACAATGGTTATGAGAGTAATGACTTTGAGGCTAAACGAATAAACATAATATGATAAAAAAACTGATAAAAATACTTTTTAGGAAAATTCACTCAAAAAATAGAATAGAAAACAGTTTGAAAGTCGCAAATTGAGTCGAGAACAAAGCCGTGAATACCTCTGCAACTGACATCTCACCAAGCAATCCAGCGCCTGAGCTTTCAGTAAGATCAACAAACTAGAAATGAAAACAAGATAACCAGTTATTGTGGCATACAAGGAAACATACAAAGGAACATGAGAAAATTGGGGTATTTATAGACTTGTTAACGAAATTAATTGTTATGATTGATTACAATCTATAAATACTTACTTAGTTACAAGCTTGCAAGAAGTTTTAGACGAGTGATAAAAATTCGTAGCTAAAAAGTGTTGGAACGAATGAAAAATGTATTGGAAAGTTGAAACAAGCAATCAATTGTGAAAAAATGAAAAAAAATACAAACATTTATGATATGAAGTCAATAAACAAATTAATATTAAAAAAGTGTTTGCATATTGAAAATACCTTGAAACGCATCACTGGTACACTTTCTATCGCTCGAATTTTGGCAATAAGTGAAATCTTTTGTCTCATTTCTTCTTCTGCCTAAAATGAAAAAATTTCATAAACCTTTAGGAAACAATTAAATATTACAAAGGCAAGGCTGGAATGTAACAAAAACAATTCAATGTGTAATTGAAAACTTTAGTTATGTATTTGACAAATTAATACGATGTTATTTGTGTACCATAAGACCAATTTGTGACAGCAATTTTATGCAATAGAAACATGCTAAAAAACGAGGTACAGCATATTTATAAGTGCTGAGGGCAGGGACATACAGTAGGAGCCCGCATAAAAGAACCTAGGTTTTTTCTGGCAGCCTGAATAGGTTCTTAATTAGCAGGCTGCTATTCTAAATTCCAGTCTAAACGATTCTTAACAAGGTTCTTATTCAGGCTTATTCATACGTACAGGCCTTGCGTACAGGCAATTATATTAAAGAAATCAATTTTATATGAGATACTTTTATAATAGGGGTGTTCTCTCCTCGATTAGTCTAACTACTGAGAAAGCTCCTCCTGTAAGTAATTCTCTCCATACAATCTATCTTGTGTCTATGTTTTGTATTGGTATATTGTATTAATTTCTTGTATTTTAGATGTATGCTTGTCTTGTTATTGATAAATTGCATGTAGTGGAATTTAAAAAATGAAAACTGAACTGAACTGAACTTGCACACATTAACAATGTTTTCCACCGCAAGGATTCTAACAGACACACTTAAACCAGCCATTTTGTTCATGTTAAATTTCAAGCCAATCAAATGAATTTGTGTTGTTAGATTGTCCAATTAGAATGTAACATACCATAACCTGATTTTCTCTAAGCTGGTTTGATTTGCCAGTGTGAATAGGGTGTAAAAATACCTTTACAAAAATACATAGAAGAACCTTTCCAAATTACAGCCTCTTGGGGGTTCTTAATTATGAGGTTTACAAGATTAAATTTCAGCCTCAAGGTTCTTACAAAAACAGGTTCTTTTATGCGGGTTTCTACTGTAGTCCGCAGCAATCCACACAAATTTCTGAATACTGGAGCAATCAAATGAGGTGAGTATCTGACTTTCAATTCTTATCTTTTCCCTAATCTCATCATTACTCTTCCTCACAAAATCTTTATTTTACTCTCCCTGTCGAAACATATCACTAAGTTATTTCCCCTAAAACTTTTCCTTAAACTGAACTAGTCTTTTATTTTAAAAAAAAGATTTATTCTAGGATTTTTAACACAAAATTGATGATTCTTATGCTTTCCAAATATTTTCTTTGTTCTGTGAAAGTTCCTCGCAGACACTTACCCTTCCCAAATCTGTTATCACGATACAGGACAATAATCAAACATTTTTGCCCTTTTTCAGCACTAATCATTTCTTAAGCCACATGACAATATGCTAACAAGCTTCGACCAAATATTTACATTCTTTGAAAATTCCAACAAACCTCTTCTAATGCTGCTTTCATGAGCGCCTGGCTCTCCTTGTTTACCTCTTGTACTGTAAAATTTGGAATATATATCAATTAGTTGAATATACTCCAAAGAATTACTTCCTAAACTTAAGATATCAAAGAAAGTAGAAAATAAAAGACAGCAAAAAGAAAAAAGTTTAGATGATTCGTTATCAAATGAAGACAGAGTATTAGAGTAAATAGAGATTAGAGGAAAGCTTATACTAATAAACTTTATAAAAAAACTCACCAATTTTCTTTTTATATTCTTTCAACTTAATTTTAGCTTCTTTGGTTTTCTCGGCATCATCCATTATTTGTTGAACAAGATTTCTAGAACGAGTAAAATGATGTTAATCAGAGTGCTTTTCAAATGGCTTTTACATTCTTTGTTGATTAATTGCATCAATTTGATGACTCGGAAACAAAGATATCACATGATAATAGCTATGAGTACACAGTTATGGTACGAGTAAATATCCCAGCTTAGTATGGCATGCTGTAATTTATCTCCACCCTACACCTGGTGCCATGTTGATTATTTGAGTAAAGATATTTTGACAGTCTATACCAGTAACAATTTTTGCGTACTTACTAGGTTATTGTTGTATCAGGAAGAGCAGAAACTTAGAATAAAAAGTTCTGTGTTGGTATCACATCAATATTGGTCAGGATTTTACATTTCAACTATTGTGGCAATTGCTGCTATATCAAAATCCTGCTTTCAAATTTTGTCATGTATCAACACACCAAAAAAATATTATCGTTTGCCAATTATGTGTTTTACTGTTTACCGGTCTGTTATAAGTGCTTGATGCCGCGTAGGCAGAGACATCCTTTAAAATGGCTTTGAAAAAAACAAACATTTAGTAAACTAAAGCTTTTCGTCTGACACTCTTCAGAGTATAAAACGTCAGAACATAGATCGAAAAATCTACGCTAGGAAATATATATACCCAGTTGTGGATCGAAAAAGGCCAATCAGAAACACGAGCACATGACTGTTTAATTTGACAAATCAGCTTAGAAGCGTGTTGCAGCTTAGAAGCGTCCTGTTCTGTGCACCAAGCAATGAACTAACAAAACTAGATCTAAGAACACTTCAAAATGGCAACTCAACCATTACAGCCCCGTTAAAAGCTGTATGAAAAGCTAATAGTAATTTTGGTATTGGCAAAGTAATTATACCTCATTTCATTATCTTTTTTGAGTTTTTCTTGCAAATATTCATCCATCATCTCCCTTGTCTTAAAATTGAAGATATCAAGAAAACATTAATTTCCAGACTTACTCTTTTCTGGTAGCTAGTATTAATTGAAAACATAAAAAAATATATACGTAATGGTACTATAAGGTGCTAAGTTAGAGGTAAAACTTCAGGTAATACCTTCGAGTAATAAGGTTACTTCAGATCCTCAACAAATCACTTCGTACAAGGGCTTTATTCTGGGCATTCATATAAAACTGATAATACTGAAATATCAATTTAATATTGTCAACAACCGAGTTTAAATTTCGATCACTATCAAATGACTAACAACCCATTTCCAACGAAGATACCATAAAAATTGAATTAATTATCATTGATTGAAAGTCTAATATTAAGCCAAAAATGTTTAATATTGACAGATAAAGAACCTCATACTGAGTTAAGAAGGTTAAGAATATTAAGTGAAGAGGTTTAGAATATTAGATTATAAAATTGGGAATATAAGATGAAGAAACCGAATAGTATTAAGTAAAGAAGCTATGGTTATGAAGTGAAGAAGATTCAAATGTAAAGGTGAAGAGGTTTTTTATATTAGATAAAAAAATTGAGAAAATTAGGTGAAGAAATTACAAATATTATGTGATGAAGTTTTATTTGAATATTAAATGAAGGAACTACGAATAGTAGATGAAGAAATTACGAATATTAGATGAAAATATTACGAATATGAGAACACACGAAAAATAGGCGAAGAGGTTTAAAATATTAGGTGAAGAAAACCTGCATATTTCGTATGTGAACTCTGTGTATCAAAATCTTGAATATCAGAATTACCAAGCTCTAAATACTTTATATAAAAGGTCTAAGTATTGTTTGAAGGAGTCCATTACCTCTTTCTTAATTTCTGAAACTCTCTGTTTGTTCTCCTTAATCAAATTCTGGCGGGCAAGTATAGCATCTTCGAAGCTGATTTTACCTGCCTATAGACAACACAAGCAAAAGTGAAAATTTAGAATAATGGATATAGCATTGACAAAAAATACAATATCATGATGTCGCAAGTTATGAGATTTGTATGACTGTTTAATGATTTGTACGTGTCACAAGTTTCTATCGCTAGAGGCAAACAGCTTTGATCTAGACTGCAAATATTCGAAAATATTCCCTCTCCATTTTGATGCATTTGGCATGAAATCAAATTATTTAATGCAATTCAAAAATATTGAAAAAAGGATTGTGGTGCAAATATAAAGCATTGCCAAAGAAAACACGACATTCTGGCTAGATGAATAGAAAACGAATGAAGAAAAAAAATTGAACAAAGTCATTGTATAAAATTAGCAACGAGGTTTGAGGCTTACAAGACGTCGGCGTTCGATTTCAGCAAGCTGCTCTTCGAGGTCCCGCTAAAAAAGAGATAGATATTATTAAAAAGTGAAAATCAACGCTGGACAAATTGCACAATTTTGAGAGCCATTTATATGTTGATTTTGTAAGGTTTTTGGTCGATTCTGATGGGCATAATATCTGGAAATTCCGATACCACTAAATTAGAAGGAAGGCTATCTTATCTCATTTATTAACATGGCATCAACTGCAGCCCTTGGCACAAACTGCGGAATCCAGTGCGGGTATTCAGTTATTGAGCCTTACTCGTTCACTTCTCTACAGTACAATTTTTAGGAAAATGCCTGATTGATCACAGCCAAATGGGGGGGGGGGGGGGTGTGATGAAGAAAAATCTATATCGAAATGTTTAGAAGAATTAGCACCAATATCTTCGATGTGTAGTTTCAGTCTAGCTTTTTCTACTTTTCATTATTGTGGCAAAAAAGCAGCAGGGGCTGATGTTGACGATGAGCTAAAAGATAGATTGCAAGGAAGTCAGTCAAAAAATTAGTGAGATAAAGATCTTATACTTTGTTGGAGACAATGATTAATGGATTTCCTAGAAAGTGAGATAAAAGAGTTGGTTGTGAGGAAAATAAATGATTTGTTTGCTTTTAGCATGATTTCTTTAGGCGGCTTGATGTTTCTTGCTCTTTATTCTGATGTTCATAATTAGCAATATTGATTTAGAGATCAAATTAGATGGTACCTTACTCCAAACTTCTGTGATTAGAAAAGTATTTTTAGAAAAAGCAATGGAAAAATAACAATTCAGGTGACATTGGAGCATTTCTGTTGACCCGATTTGGCCAGCAAAGTCGTCAATTATTGAAACTGTTATAAAGAGGTGCAGAAATGTGCAGAAAGTAACTTGAGCACAGGCTTCAACTCAAAATTACTTCACCTATTTCCATGTATAAGACTAAAGGTAGAATTTCCTCAGCTTACCTCCTTCATTTCTTGCTGCCATTTCATAAACTCGGAGGCATCTCGTCCGCCCATCGCAAAATTTGTTAACCTACAAAATGAAGAGATTCTATTCAATTTCAAGGAACACGCACATTCTGCCATCTGACAATTTTCAAAGGACTCCCTGACACATGGATACATATTAGCTCTATTGAGAGGTATATCAGGGTCTATGGAAAGTGGAAACTGGAGCCTACAAATCTTGAAAAGGAGAAATAGAACAGCGATTGCTATCAATGCATAGAACTCTGCTCTGTGACCAATACCTGTTGAGTTGGATAAGATATCGATTCACTTCAATTCATATGCATATTCAGTTTTGTAGCTACTGCAATATCATAACAAGAACATTAACCCAATGCAGCAACACATTGCCAGAAAGATACATTTGTCAACATCATCAGTTTAAACACAAATTTTCTTAGAGCTATAAACAGGTGTTCTTTGAGGTTAGAAAGCCAAGACAGAAAAAAAAGATTTTCTAAACAAGGATTAAACTAAAATGTTACTTCTAGGAAACAAGGATCAGTTTGACAAACTTTTACTCCTGTTAAAATATGAATAATTTATCCAATAAGATAAGTTTTAATAACTAATTGCGCATACCTTTTATCAATGTCGTCCTCTTTCTGGTTTATCAAAGCTCCTTCTCTCATAATGGCCGCTGCGTTCAATCGTATTGGAATATTCCCTGTCTAAATTTGATTGCTTTTATTACAATGATTTCAAAATACAAATCAAAAAAGGAGACGAGAATATAAAAAAGAAGATTTTTTTTCATGAACACTAGAAAATTCCGAGCAAAGGAAAGGCAGTCATAAAAACTAAACATTAAGGCATCAGTAGATCTGGTTTCCAAAAGGTTCTAGTAGGAAGAAATACCTTCTAATCCTTCAACTGAGGCAAAATCTACGTCTTATTATGAAAACTACAAATCTGGGCAAATTCTCCAAATAATAGAAAAAGTTTGAATTTGTGAATTGACCTTGATGATCAAAAGATGCATTTTAGTTTCTTTGATATATATTAAGGAAACGACGTTTCTTTGTGAGTTATTCAATAAAATCACGTTAAAATGAATAATTTTTTTTAAATTCACAGCTATGACTTTGCTGACATATTACTCAAAAAGTTAATAGTTTTCCTCGTTAAGGGCTGTAATATCATTTTGGGTAGGCCATCCTCCTCTACATATTCTACAACAAATTCATTCATTTCTGGCGTTACATGGACAAGCCATAGCGTACCTGTGATGGTGCTGATCTTGCCTTGTGTCTCGTGAAATCAAGCCTAGAAAATAACATTATTTTCTTAGAATAAGACAAGACTTAATGGAACTTGAGATCAACAATATCCAAATAATGACGACATATGCTCTTGTAACAAATCCAATGATAACTCAAACATAACAAACCACTGTCACATAAAACTGCACTAAAGAGGAATAAATAAATTGGATATAAAATGAATACACTAAACAGGATGTAAATGTCATCGGAGGTTTGCAACGAATATACAATATGGGTAAATCAATGACTGTTTCATACAATTATAATTATTCATAAAGCTTTGGAAAATTATATTCGAAATCCTGACAGAAAAATAGCTTGACATTTGCTGATCAATTTACCATGAACAAGAGAAAAAGGAGAAAATTCGCATTAACGAGGCCTCAGTAAGAGTTCATCAGAACAATGATCATAATTAGTTACCGTATTTCCTCTAATGAACGCCGCCCTCTGATAAACGCCGCCCTGTTTTGAACGCCGCACCTTCGGCCATCCAATTAGAAAAAAAGCCCCCTCTGATAAACGCCGCCCTCTATTGAACGCCCTATCTTGAAAAGCGGAGTTCATTAGAAAACATACCAAACAAGAAGTAAGGAATCGCTTTTGCGCTTCCTATTCGAAAGCTATGAAAAAATTTAATGTCAAAGTGCCGAAGACTCTCCAATTGACATTCCTTGACATTGTCGTAGCGTGAACACATCCTTTGTGAACTTTAAAAAAATTTTCACACCATCTTTATTATGTGTTATTGGGATTTGTTAAGAAACGATTGGTCAAAGTCTGTCTTTATCTTTTTTCATCGCACTTTTCTTGTCATTTTTCATTTGACAAACTTTTCATTTTAAATTGAACGCCGCCCTCTGATAAACGCCGCTCTCTATTGAACGCCGCACCCAAACTTTGGAGTTCGTAACAAACGCCGCGGCGTTCTTTAAAGGAAATACGGTAAGTGAAAATACACAGTGATGGATGAATAAGCTAATGAAAGGAATTCGCACTTTGCATTGACTTCTTGGATATGCTTTCGTATCCTTTCTTTTGTCTTTTCAGATTTCTCTGCATTTGCGCAAGAAAATTGGCTCATAGATGCTTCCATCAGTCGTTTCTGGAACAAAAAACCAAGATAAAGACAGAGAAAAAGATTAACGTAAAATGGACCGTCTTAGTTTCAGAGAAAAGGAGGACTCAAAAAAGATCTAGATAAATAAATCTACCTCATTAAGAATTTAGCCGAGGGCACTCCGTGAAAATGATAAGGACCATAGGTCATCAGATGCTAGAAATACTGAAAGCGTGTTTCTACTAATGAAGAAATATTCACGTTTTCAATGTGACGAAAAGAAGGAAAGAAAAACTATAATTTTTCTTCACTGTGACGCAAAAATAGGCAAAAATATTCGCCATAGGCTATATCTATCGGAATTATTCTCAGAATCTAACCAAGGCGCTACATTGTTGAATCTTTTCTAGAATTAGACTTAGAATTAAAGAGATTATTCTTGTAAAGCATCGGATGCCTTTGTGATCATGTCAGTTCTCTGTACATACCTCAGCTCGCTTTCTGTTTTCTTCACTTCTCTTCGAAAGTATTTCTTTTTCTTTTGGTCCTTTGTATGTCGATACCGGCGCCTTAAAGATGATAAAATATTGTCTAATCGAGCCAAGGAAGTTTTCTTTGAAGAAGATCACAGTAAACGGAGGTAGGAAAATGGTCAACTACTTAAGATTTATACACATCTGTTAAGTTTCCTTGGTGTAAATCGTATTTAACCTTACATTTACTTGATTCATAAAGAAAAGTTGTTTTCATTTATCTAGGGGAACATCATATTGGGTACAGAGAGATGCGACGATTCAATGACAAGTTCTCATAAAAACCAATGATTTCATGTATCGAAAATAGATGCAAAGAGAATAAGATGAAATAGTTAAAATACGAGTTTAAATAGAAAGAGGGGAGGTTTAAATAGACAGAGGACAAGATTTAAGAAACAAAGAGCAATGAAATAAGTTTTATTAATTCTTGTAACTTGGGAAGACTTTCTCGTTAAAATAGGGCAAAAATTTTCTGAGAGCGTAAGACAACAAGACGGCTATTAAAATCAAGCAAAAAAGTAGCCACTTTACCGGTTTGTGTTTCTCAAGCTTTGGAATCTGTAAAAGGTGAAGGAAATGTGAATCAATAAGTTAAAGAAAGAATCTTTAACGATATGAGTGAAATCTTAAAAGGTTTGTTTAAGAAATTGAAAATGAGGTTAAGATGGTACGTTGTATCGATAATTCAAAGGCAACTTTACGTAAAATTTTTGAAATCTATTTGTTGGCATTAGGTTGTGAAAAACTGGCACCTTTTAAGGATAACTGATGAATTCATTAAAGGGTCTATGAATTATCAACTGCATCCAGCGATACCGGAACAAAGGGGGGAGCAGAGAGGGCAGCTGTGCCCTTGTGCCCTTAACCAGAGAGGGCAGGACAGGGTCAGAAAGTGCCTCTTTGGTCGCAGTGTCATGGAATTCAAGGGTCGGCGATAAGAACGCTTCATGCCGACCATTCACATAGGTTTCCACCATTTCATTTACGCCAATCAGAGCTCTAGATACCATTACATTGATATTTGACGATAAATTCTTCTCTCAACAAGGCATAACAGGGCCTAGTTAAAGGTGGCTACAAAATATAAGGTCCAGTCTTAATGAAGGAAATAAGACTTCACCCTTAGCTCCCTTCTCGTTTATCACTTTAAAGATTTGTATATGACTAGACATTTTACATAAAAGATACTTTCAAAAGGAAAAGACTGTAAGCATAGAAAATTTTAATTGGCTCACTTCCTTCACCTACAGTACATCTTCATGCCTCCGCAAAAGTCTTCACATACAGAAGCAATGCAGAAGCTGAAGTTTCTATTTTCAAAGTTTCCAAACATACCTTTTCTGGGATTGGAACACTTCGAGGCCTTGGCTTTGTCAATGCGAATGGCTTTAATGCTAAATGCAAGAGGAGTCATTGTAAAATACAGGGAATATATGACGAAAACATTTCAGTTCAAAAAGCCCATTTCAGGTTTAAATTGCTGGAAGATGTAGCAGAGACCGTTAAAGGCTATGGATGCCAAGAAGCATCTCAAAATGAGAAATTATTCATGGTGTAAAGATAAGGTGAATCATCTAGATGCATTTTCATTAGCAGGTAAGCCAGTTTGGTATAAAAGCATATAAAGAAGATTTCTGGGGAAGACTCATGCTTAGGCCAAACTAAGTTAGTTCCTATTAAATTTTTTCAAAGTATAGATAAAAATCAATTGGAGTAATTGATGTAAAAATATTTGGAGTAATGGCAAATAACATTCTGTTTTAGACTATGAAATCCAAGCAATAAACTATTCTAATGGAAAGCTTAATTGTAATATTCTTCCATGAAAAACGAAAAAATTGAAACTAATTGATTATTTAAAGAAACTATAACTGAACATACTAACAAGACTTACCTGTTAGAGGTTTGGGACCCTTTAGTTTTCCTTCACCTGTCATTCTGCTATTCAGGTTGCTAAGCATCTCATGAAGCTCTGGCAGCCACCTAACAAAACAAAAGTGGAGTAAACATATATGGAAAACAACTTCATCCACTAGGGTAGTGATGGCAAAGGGTGGGGCAGAAATAACTCAACCCCCTTAGTTATCTGCAAGTTGGTTTTGGAAAAAAGCCCAAATCTGCAATAAGTTTAATAAGTTATAAAAATGGGGCTATACCTGCCTCAAAAGATTTTTTCCCAGAGTGGTAATAAAATTTTATTGGGGAAATGCTAACTGGATGGAAGACCAAACTTTTCAACATCAAACTAGATTTGTAGATCAAGGCAAATTTGGAAAGGTTACAGTAAACCACAATAAAGCAAGGAATATAAAAAGAGCAAACCTTAAAATTGGAGAAAGAAGTTGAATTTGAACATAACTGTGTTCATACAATTTGCACCACTAAAAAGTAAAATAGAAACCAACTTAGCTTGACAGGTTTTTTCGAAAATCAAAGCTGAAACTAATATCACTTTGACATAATTAGACAGCTTTTGAAACTCTGATCTTAATTACTTATTCTTGTAAGCTGTCATATTTGCTGTTGAATGTAAACTTGAATGTTAAATAGTATAAAACATATTTTTGCATCTTGACTATAATCAAATTATACAATGTTACCGAAATGGTGAGCAATAAAAAAATAATTTTTCACTTACTTCTGCAAACATCCATGTCTTTAAATTCAGTTCATCAAAAACAAACTCTAAAAACTATGAAAAAGAGATGTCATTTAGTAGTGGACATATGCAAAAAAAAATTTCAAATAAAATTTGTTTAGCAACTACAATGCATCAGCTATTTGTTTGTTTTTCAATTAGGTTCGTTTTAAAAAGTTGATTACATTTATAATACTTTCAACTCTAAAGCAAATTTTAATTTAGATATACTCTTTAACAATAAATAGCTAATGCTTTTAGATTTTCTGTGTTTAAACTTTACACTCTATTCTTCAAAATAAACATTCTAATAATCAAAATGATAAATAAGTGCTTGGGGAATATGATAAGCTAAAGAAACAATTTCATTTTATATAGAGGTTTGATATCTTGGAATTTTTTGCAAAGATATTCAAGAGTATCATGAATTATGACAAATTTCCTCATAAAAACAACCAACCTGTACAATCTTTTTTAGGTCTTGAGTTAGCATGAATTTTCTGAAATGTGAGATCCCAAGTTCATCCAATCTGAACAATGCTAAGTACAATGCAACTGAATAAAAACAATCAACGGTTATATGTAAAACAATAACAAGATAAGAGAGAGGTTGTAAAATCATCATTTTTTAGTTCATTTATACCTTGAAATTATTCCAATAAGTTAGATTTGTTGTTTGTGCAGAGGAAAAGGATTTGCAGATTAACTTTTAACTTGTATTTTCATAATAAATTTAAAAATAATAAAAACAGTTGAGAGAATAGAATAGTTTTGCTTCATTATAGCCATTTTAGTTAAATTTAAAAAAGCTGTTTGGTGATATGATTTTTTAAAATACTAATGTTATCCAGTGGACTGACAAGATTCTCGGCAAAGGCTGTATGAATTTAAAAAATATGATCAACAACATGTTTAAAGACTGTAAAAGTGAGTTACCATTGTAGTTATTTCTGTATGACTTTAAACAGTTCTTTCCATCAGTCTTGTAATATCTATCAACAACTACCTGTGGGATTCAGTGGAATTTGATTTATAATCATATCACAATAACAAGTTACCAATTAATTTTTTTCTTGCTACTAACATTTGAAAATTCTTTGAAACCAAATCCATACTTAAAACCAATGCATATTATTGTCTATAAAAGCTCATATCACAATCAATTCAATACATTATTTATTGAAAAACTATGTAATTTGTTTTTCGTCAATTTTCATTCAATGCAATCAAAACAAATTTCGATGAAACAAAAATTTTGACAATTAAATAGCAGCTGTTAAACTGTGATTTACATTTATTATTCAGGCGAAATTAGCACATAAATTTAAAACCACCGCAATGAAAATGGATTCAAAAGAATATTACAAAAGAAACAAAATGCCTACATCACAAATTCCAAAACATCTAAGAGACTTTTGCAGCTTCCTATGATGGAAACCTAATTCGAGAAAAAATATTATCGAGATAATAAAACGCTTATTAGATATATTATGAATCAAATGCTCATTTGTCTTACCTTCAAAGCACCAGAAAATCGCACACATCCTTCAAAAACTTCAGTTAGGAAAACCGCACTTTCGTCATTTCGTTTCACTACCTGAACCAAAGAATTATAATTTTCATTGCATCGGATCAGTCTAGACATGAAAGGCCTAGAGGGTTAGATATCCAAAATACTTCATAACCTTGTGTTAAAGATTTTAAAAAACAGATTGATTCATTTTTGATAACTCGAAAATCCTAAGCCAGGCATAATCAGAGCAATAATATCACTGGATGCCAAATGGTTTGTTGTGCGCAAATCGATATTCTGTGGATAGGTATAACAAACCTTGTCATATTTTTCTTCAACAAATGTCGTTATGTATTCACGGATTCCTCGGTCCCTCACTTTGAACTTTTCTAAGGCTTCAACAACTTCATCAAATAGCCTTTTATAATCCATTTCGATAACATAAGCAGAATGGTTTTTGGAATTTGAGTTGAGTTTGCAGTTTAGTTAGTAGTAGAAAATACACTAGCACTTAGGCCTATTAGAAAACTTGTTTACCTGGCAACCGAGTAAGCAATTCAATTCAATAATAGTGGTACATCAGTAGCTCCTCCGCGGCAATATTTGCCACTAAGGGTTGTTAAAAAAAATTGATAATTGATACTAGGAATTTCGATTTCTCATTCCCCTGCAGTAAAATTTTCATATAATAATTTTCGACTTGCTTCCGCTTTTTCATGCTTCCTGCGTAGAATTTACACCTTTGTGGCCAAAGCAACTGAACTGTCTCCCATAGGTCGGGTTAGAGGAAGTGTCAGTTGTTCTGAAAACAGGGAATAATTTTTATTGATAGAATTACGCTTATGCTCAAACAATATTTGGACAACTTCGAAATTTTGAAGAAATGTTATGCAACAAATTTTGAAAGACATTTAAAAAATCTCTTTTCGTTAAATAAGTGCCACAACTATTTGCATGATATTTTTTCAAGATATTGTTTATATGTTTCCTAGCTTTGAACTACCCCCAAAAATCTAAAGAAGTAGACGTTCAGCCCTGCAGGTACCCTAAAAAAGACTCATACACAAACCAGAAATTTTATATAATTGAGGATCAACTGACGATTGGAGTGCAATCGTTTTTTCTCCCAAATGGATCAAATGGTTCTAAAATCTTTGCCCTAAATGGGGTCCAGTCTGTGGAGGTCAAAGTAGCGTCACGCGTGCCCCAATCACATGTCCTTAGCGCCTCACTTTGTTTATTCCTTAACCGACATTTGACGATCTCTGTAGAGTTAACGATCATTTACCGACATTTAGAGTTGACGATCGTTTACCGACATTTAGAGTTAACGATCATTTACCGACATTTAGAGTTGACGATCGTTTACCGACATTTAGAGTTGACGATCGTTTACCGACATTTAGAGTTGACGATCGTTTACCGACATTTAGAGTTGACGATCGTTTATCTTAAACACGTTTACAAAATAATGCAAACTACAACAAGCTGAAGGTTATTGCATATAACAAAAAGAAGAAAAGAGGAAGTAAAAAAAGCTATAGTGATATGATCTACCCCTCTGAGTGGGAAGTTTTAGACAGGGATCCAACAATCACACGGATCCCCGACCCCTAAAGCTGGTATACTTCTTTTTTAAATCATTTATTTATCCTTGTCCTCTTAATCATTTATCTTTGCAAATCTAAAACTCTTTTAAAATCTAAGGGAGTTGCTATTTTTAATGCTTGGTAAAGGGGCGAAAGAATTTTGGAAGTGAAAATTATTGTTACTCTTGTCATGTACCAATATGTCTCTTCTCTATCATTGCTATCAGAATCTTGAGTCAACAGAAATGTGATGTGTCAATCGCTTAAAAAACATTTTCAATCTATGGGTGCAAGCTCCTAGGTATAGTTGACTACAGCAACCTTCCTCAGTATCATGTTTCCTCGTGGCTCTGTTCTAATTTTATATAGCCTGTGCTCCAGACCCCTAACTTGAAAGTTAGGGGCCTGGAACACAGGCTTATTTTATATGACTTTCATTATTTTTCATTCAATATACTTTTGCCATTATAAATCATTGAAAATGTGCCCATTGAAAACTTTCTATAAACTCAAAGCCCCATATTAGAGGATCGAGAAATTTGAAGGAAAATAGCAGCATTGAGCTTGGATTCGGATCAAGAGCTGCAAAGTACAAATTCGCAATCTGGATGCGAAAGCTTTTGTTCCAGACCCCCAACATGAAAGAAAAGGGTCTGGAACACAGGCTAGGATGTGAAAGAAAGGAAACTGAAAAAGTTAAAGAAATTAAAGAATTGTAGAACACTTGCTGACTTTTTAAAATAGCACTTGCACACAGTAGTACTTCATAATAAACATATATATGAATGGTATCTTAAAATAGTATAGGTATCATAAATATTTGATACCCTTGTAGGAAATGATTACCAAAATTTGATAGCCCAAAATAACTAGGCTGAAAAATTTCATACTTCTCAAAAATTACATACATTTCTTATCTAGAAAAATCTTCTACCTCGCCCGGTACCGAACATTGAAAACACAACTTCCTATCAACTATTTTCAAAATTGTCAAGCTTCATCACTTACTAACAATTCAAGTGCTCCATCTGGTACAAAAAGTGCTCCATCTGGTACAAAAAGCGCTCCATCTGGTACTCCTTTTTCAAATAAGGGTCACAGGCAGGTACGATTATGTAAGACGTTATCTTGAAAAAATGTCTTTGGAAAACAGATTAAATATATTTTAAGAAAAATCAAAAGTCGCGTTTTCTACAGCTCCACAAAATCAAATTTCTTCTTTCCGAATCCTTGTCGTTAATATCAGCTTCTAAGAAGTCTAGTCGAAGCACAGAGGAAATAATTTGAAACTAGCCTTTTCGAATAGAATTGGATGGTGAAGGAGGTAGTCCATTGTTTATATAAAGAGAAGTTCAATAGCCTTGCTCTGGTCGCGCGACTTGGCGAAATCGAATCAACAAGTCAGCGAATCGGCGAACGCGACCAGTCGCCCAGTAGTTAAACTGAGTTGAACTACTCAGCGAATGGTCGCGCATTCGCAGCGAATGAGGAAGTTCAATTTGCGCGTGCCCCAATGTGCATTCGCTCAGTCGCACGAACAGAGCGAATAAAGTGCTGTTGTGAACTAGTGTCAACAACGCTTTGGCCACGTGTTAAATGCTACATGTCATTGATCACATGTTTATCAGTTGACCTAGGTCATAGTACAACTCTCCAGGGGGCTCGTCACCAGTCCACATTTATGCCTACGTAGATGTAACGACAGAGTTGGAATGGATAGGTGTGTGATCGGTCAGAATGATAAACTCAAAGAAATGTAATACTCTCGCTCTCTGTGTTCTTTCTCACCTTGCTTAAGCCCAAGACACAATAACTTCTTCGCCTTTTTCCTTCTCCTTTTCTCCTCGTTAACTCTGCAGCCAGTGTCGGAGTCCATGCGCATATAGTTAAAAGTGAAACATTGCTAGAAGTAACTGTATGATAGGCTCTTATTGTTCTCACTCTGATTCACAGAATAAACTGTTGAGTTGGTCCTAAACTTAACTGTACAAGGGGGAGATCAAATAGATATTGGTTTGTAAAAGGTTTGATATCTATCTCAACAACAAAAAGGACCTTGTAAATTTGGCCACCTTGCAACTGTTTTGTTAAACGGGAGGCGTTAACTCTCCTTGGAAGCATCTATTCAAATAATGGCGAATATGAGGACCCCAGAAGTACGTCTTCTGGTCACTCTAGAAAGGAGGTCCTACTACAAAAGTGTTACTTTCATTAAACATAAGGGACGAAATAGCAAGTTTGAATATCGTATCTGAAGATTCATGCGATTACACGTGTCCTGATACAGGTCAAAAGAAGAGAGGATTGGTAACTGAGGTACAGGCGAAGTTTTTCTCTTAACTGCATCGTGCATCAAGAATACCTCAAGCAAAGCGTCTTTGACCACGACTGTGCGTTAACAAAGCCTAGTTCCCTTATCATTATGTCTCAGCCATTTCAAACAACTACTGGGTTTTCCTCATTGGAAGCATAGAAGCATTCGTTTTTGTCAAACTTTGCCTTTTTGCAAACAACAAATATTGAAGTATAAAGCAAACATGCTATGGGGATGCTATGATGACTTAGTAACCAGTGCATTTGGTTTAATTGTGACTAAGCCTAAAGCAATACAACAGAAAATAAATTGAAAGCAGGGTAAAGTATCTTCTGTGTTTGGCCTGTTTACCAGCCGTGAAGTGTACTTCCAATAGCACAAACCGAAAGGAATCAATAACCAATCATTGAAGCAAAGAAATTATTTATCAACGAATCTTCATTTCTATAATATATTCCTGCCAAACTAACTGTATTCAGAAAAGCAGCTTCTTTTCTATCAATTTCTGATAATCCCTACTTCAAGCCGGCCTGAAACTCGGTCTGATATTAATTTCAGTCTGCAGTCACAACCATTGGAGTTCTCACAGGAGAAAAGGCGAAATGAAATTCAGGTCGACCTGAATTCGTTTCGGTTGTTCAGTTCAGGTCGGTCTGTCCGAAACTTCAGGTCGACTTGAAATCTACGCGAAAAGAAAAAAAAGAGAAAAGAATGTGTTTGTTTCGATCTGAATTCGCAATAAATGCGGATCTGCAATTCCATGCTAAAGAAAAGAAATGGAAGAAAGAAATAATCCGATAAATCCTTTTATTTACATTTCGCCAAACTTTATGTTGGGCGTAATGTTGGATCGTGTGACCACCTTGTTGGGTCACCCAACATCGTATGTTGGACAAAATATGACTGAGGTAAAAAATGTTGGCTGCCGACGTCCAACAATTTTATTGTTTTGAAGTGTTAAGTGAAATGTTTAATCGTTTGACCACCTCAGCCAAGTTGGCTAAAGAGCGCCAAAATTCAATCATCGCATTCATTCTTGTTTTCTTGGGCTGGTTTCGTTTCAACAATCGCCTTTGCTTACAATCAGTTACACCTTAATTATGGACAATATAACAAAATATTACGAATTCTGTGCGAAAGAAGAGACATCAAGCATCAATGTAGAAACCGTAGCACAGAGGAGCTACATAAAAACGTGGGGGGGGGGACGAATTTAGGCCACGGCCTTGATAGGGGATGCAACGCCGACGTTCGTGCTGAAAGACCGCGATGACAGCGGAAACATCTGAAGAGAAAATAAAAAGAGAAGGCAGTGTTTGCCTTTTTCGGGTAGAAATGTCGCGAAACTGTGCAGCATTCAGCGCGAACTTCTACCCAGTCCTTTTTTGATCTGCGCGTGAAAATGTTAGGCGAAATGTTGGGTTAAATGTTCTATCATTTGACCAGGGCTTTATAAAGTAATAAATTTCATATTTAGACTGGATTTAATCAAATGTAATAAATGCATGTCGTGAAAGTAGCAAAATGTTTAAAAAATTGCAAGATAATGACTGCCAGAAATGTTCTGAAATGTATTTTAAGCTAATCTAAAGCCTGATTTAAGCCTGATTTACACGAGACGAGTTTTTTCGTGCGAAGCGAATTTTTCGCCGCCAATGCGCGAGAGATATGCGCAGAAGTAGAGATTAGAAAATTCGCTGCGAAAAAGTAGAAACCCTTACTTTTTCGCTGCGAAATTTTTCGCCTTGTGAAATAAACCAATTAGAACAGCATTTGAAGACATCTGACTTCTGTTTTGGTTTCAGATGGTCTACGTCCTTCCGCATTGGTAATTGATCATTTCCTGTTCCTCGTACACAATTCATTTAAGTGGATTCATATCAGGTCATTATTGGCTTGAAAGTTTCATCGTTCTACCAATATGTCAGAAATAAAAAATAATAGGCAAGAATTTCTTCAAATTGTTGAATTGTTGGCTGCTTATTGGCGTGCTCAACAGCAACAGTTTTAAGCAGATGCACTAACAGGATCTCGCATGCTTGTGCAAGCTTCAATAGCGATCTTTGAAAGTATTTGAAGAAGTTATTCTGGTCTTGTAAACGTAAACCTCTCTTACCGAAAGATGGAGTTCCCCCTTCTAAAGACGCCCTGAATAAATTTTTCTAATCCAGTATCGCTGTTTGCTGTTTGCTCGCTTTTTTGATCAATTTAAAATTTTAAACTTGCTGATAAGAGCACTCTTCCGACAGTCGCTATATTCTTTTGTAATATTCGCAGCGAATTCGCATAAAAATTTCTGCCAGTGTAAAATGAACTTCGAGCTCGAGAGAAAAATTCGCAGCTAAAAAATTAATGGCGAAAAATTCGCTTTCCGCGAAAAATTCGTCTCTTGTAAATCAGGCTTAAAGGGCGTCTTCGCAAAAATATTTTGCTCGCTGCGCTTGCACTCGCAGGGAAGCCTTCCTTTCGAATATACCTAGGGCCTCTGACAACTTCTCGCTGACCCTCTCAATGTACCGCTAGAATAACGAGTGCCCCTAAAATCACAGACACAAAATTTCGTGAAGTACTTTAGTTCGTTTTTCAAAAGTTGTTTTTTATTCTGATAATGCTATAAACTCAAGCCCCCCCCCCTCCCCCCATATTCGTAAAACTTTCTCAGCGCAAATATGATTTGTAATTATCATTTTATTTAGAGTCATACTTTCCAGTCCATAGAGCCAATTGCCATATTTGCTTTCGGGTCCAGGGGCGGTTGCCTCTTTGCTACAAAGGTGCCTGCCGTTTTGTGTTATGAGACTTTTTTGTTGTCACAATACAAAAGGGCCACTGACTAAGTAGTTCAATCTCTAATACCTTTCGGTCTACCTTTGAGTACAGATTGGATGTATTGAAAATGGATAAATTTCCGAAATTTTTATTAACCTACAAATGTAGCTCTCATTACTAAGCTCCAATTATTTTCCTAAGCCTAATCAACACTCTTGTCATCAAGGTAACATTTTATGGGCAGTTCTGAACAGCTTTTGAGATAGAGCACGGCATTTCCTTGTCCTGCCTGTGCATGCTGTTGTCGCTATCCACGCCTCCGTGAATCTTGCTACTTTGAGTCGTACCTTAACGAGATATTTATGTCTGATTGGTCAATTTTGAGACAGGAAGGCGAGTCGGGGCGCAGCAACGTGAATCTTACTTGCGTCCATCATTCTCTCTTGTCTGAAGTCTCTGGCTGGTTGACGGTGTAGACAGCATAAACTAAAGTGCCTCTTCACAATCCGTGTTACTGAAAAATATAGAAATGTAAGTAGCTCGCATTAATGTTTTATTTCTATTTGTAAAATTATCAGTTTTGATCACATACCCTTGTCGTCAGATTTCTCAAAGGGTTTGCACTCCCTCTTAGATTAGGCCACATAGCAAGTGAGTAAATTGAAATTTGTTCTCGTTAACGGTTTCAGTTCACAAGTAACATGGAAAATATCTCCTGTTGTTTTTAACGAAGCCATCCTTTTGAAAGCTATGATACAGAATTTTTTCATTCATTTTACAAACGCACAGAAAAAGGAGGAAATAATGGCGATGCGACTCTTGGGCGTGGATGTCCTGGTGCAGGTTACTCAATGACGTGTTCTTCTCACTTGACCGCACAAATTAATACCAAATAAATTGTGAACTCCTTTTTTCTAAGGCCATGTGTTAAATTATTTATTTTGAAGAAATTATCTAATTTTGAAATTGACAAAATGCTTCACGGAAGTTGTTATGGTCTCCCTTCGCCCCGCCACAGACCTCGCCTTAATAGCTTCAGCTATTATAGAGTTGGATGCTCTCTTGGAAAACATTCTCCATGTCCGGCGAGGATTTTTCATCATCTTGAAAAGTTTGAATGCGCCTATCCAACTATTGTCGGTAGTTTTATTTCGATATGTGTGTTGTCAACTTCGCCCCCCTTTCGACGCAAACCGTGAAGTCCTTTTATGTCTTTTTCTAAAGAAATGAAATAGGACCACTCTTAATATTCAAAGCTCTCCCGTCGATTATAGCTAACAGCAAACTGAGCTCCTGTGTTCACCAGTATTTCCACCTTTAGCAGTTAAGAGCATTTTTGATATTCTGTTTTGTGGAAAAAATTATTTTTGCTTTCTTTTACTTTGTCTTATCATAAAGTAGCCGAGACTGATTTTTCCTAGCTACTTGCCATTTTTATTTGCCTTGAATAATTATATATACCCCCCAATTTAACTTCCTTCTGTTTTAACACCCATTTGAACAAGGAAGTGAAGTAAAAAGCTAGAATATTTTTCAAATATATGCAGTAATCATTCTTGAATACTGCATAACTGTGTATTCTCTGTTCCGGGTTGATATCACTTATTTTTCATCTTGCTTTCTACATACCTTTCTCAAAAATGGTTGCTGTCTAACTGACATCTTTGACACATTATTTTAGTATTTATGGATAATAAATGCAGGATTTTGCAGATCCTTGATTTCAAAATTCTTGTTTCATATCCCTTTTAAAGTTCATTAGCTATGTATGAAAACATATATTATATATGTCCAAACTTTAAATTATTTTTAGCACAATGAGCTGGGATTCATATATCGATAATTTGATTGGAAACAGCAAAAGTGCTGATGGTACTGCTCACATTGATAAAGCATGCATTTTTGGAAAAGATGGAGCCCCATACACAACAGATGGCCATACTGGTTCTCTAGTAGCATCTGCTGCTGAAAAAGCTAAAATTTTTAATGAATTGAATAAAGGTGACCAATGTGAATTTGGGGCAACAGGAATCGTTCTTGGTGGAACCAAATACCAGTTCCTTCGCATAGATTCAGATTCTCGTCTTGCGCTAGGAAAGAAAAAGGGTAGTGGTTCTATTACAGTGCAGGGAACAAGCGCAACAGGGCTAGTTATAGTGGCTCACTGCCCTGAAGGTGCACAACATGGCAACTGCAATGATGCTGTCCAGAAAGTTATCACATACTTGGCAGGCAGTGGCTACTAATAAACACAATGACATTTTTATAGAAAGAAATCTGAACTAATTTTCTTCATGTATTATGAAATTATCTCTTGATAAGTAAGGCAATAATGAAGACCAATTAAACTCTTTCCATTTCTTATGATGCATGAAAAAGTTCAGTGGTAACTGAGGCATATTTTGTGAAGAGGATTTAAGTAGCCTTTTTTAGACCTTTGCTGCCCAGGTACATAAATATCAGATGTTAGAAATGGTAGTTACAGAAAGATGTTCAAAATTTATGAAACCTTTACTTTGAAAATCTATAATGCTGACAGAAATGCTTTTTATATGTAGCTTCTCTTTCATGTTTCAGTTTTTATGCTCCAAACTATTGTAAACTTTTATTTTGCTGTAAAAGTTTACAAGACAAGGCTCTGAAGGATTAAAAAGATTTTAAGTATTCAATCACTTTTGTACTGATAAATTGCTGCAAATGATACTGGGTTTGCCTGTAGAAATAATTTAGACAGCTATGTGTTGTTGATAAGATTGGACTGCCTCTTTTGTATGTATGTCTTTGACATTTTCTATGGCCTATTACTGCCATAAAGTACACCTTTGTACCTGGTTGCCAGTTGGCTGTTTTCACAATTGGCCTAATTCCTCTAGGGTTCTGACCAAAATCAATTTAGCCCAAGAAAAAAGGCTGGCCAATTATTGGCTACATGTTGTAGAAGGAAGCAACAATATTTGCACAGATAATATTCAGCAGTTCCTTAGAATAATAAAAGATGACAGATAATTAAGAATGAAAGCAAAGGAAAGATTTTGTAACATACAAAGTCAACTGTGATTACATTATTACCCTACACAGTTAGCAGAATTTTAACTGTTTTGAAATGTATGGCTGCACAATTTTGGATGGCAACTGTAAATATTTGGCCATAAACTTTTCCAAACATCGTGCAACCCTGGCAGGTACTTTAATGATCTCTACCTTAAGGATTCAAATTTCTCTTCTGAGAGAAAATGATACACTTGAAAGTTGCCCCCACAAGCTATCTTCCATAGCAACTACTCTTTCCGTGCTTAATTATAGGGGATGGGAATTTTTTGTAAATTTGGGGGAGGGGGTCAAAATAAAATGGCCAGACGGGAAGATTTATTGGATAGCAGAATACGGGAATGGCTGCCCAAGAGCGGTTTTTTATAGTTGATATCAAAGTTACTGTGTTTATCAGTTTACCATTGCATTTTGTTCCTGGTTGATTGTCTATTTTTGAAATTCGATTCACTAATATGGGAAGGTGATAATTAGATAGGAGGAGGTCAATTTGCAGTTGATGTTGTAGACCAAGCGAGGAATGGGGGTATCGTCAATTCGTCACCCATCGAGTGAATTTGCAGGAGTAACTCTAATTGGTCAATTTCGATACACTAATTACGAAAATCGATGTTATAAGGAAAAATTCGGTACCATGAAGCCTCTATTTCACGTTCAAACCTCGTTTTCGCCCAAATTTGAACGTTGAACAAAAGTTTGTAAATCATTGATTCTCGTCAATTTCGATATACTGTTTTCCAAGGTTGATCTCATACGGCGGAATTCTGAATGCACTGGTCCCTTTTTCATGCTGAAATTGTGCATTTATCGTTTTCATTATTTCCAGAGAAAAGCTGCTCCGCACAAGACCGGTATAGTGCTTGCGTTTTTCTGGTTGGCCTATTTCGATCCACAACTGGGTATATACTGTATTTTTCATCGTGTTCTTTCGGAACCTTATTCTGACGTTTTATGCTCTGAGGAGTGTCAGACGAAAAAGCTTTTAGTATGTTTTAAATTTAAATTATTTTCAATAGGATTAGGAGGATTGCTTTAGTGAAATGTGCTTGAAAGAGTGCATTTTCCAGGGAACTAGAAGCATCAAAATTCGAAAATTTCCTGCTCCTTCGGCGGCAACCATGGTGCCGCCTCGGGTAGTAACTATATCCTTTGCCCGTTCCGATATAGAGATTTGACAAAACTTTTAGGAAAATTCCGTTATTATCAAATTAAAATGAAAGTTGCGAATTATATACAGAGTTAGATTGACAATATAGATTGCAGAGGTTTGTGACAGCAACTAAAGAATTTCAGGCAAACAATTTTTAATCAGGTAAATTTGTAGTCCACCCCCCCCCCCCCCCCCCAACAAGGCTTGCCTCGCGACGGCCCTGCATTGGGTCAATATTGGCTTCTTCAGCTTCTTGATTGACATTTAGAAGCAGCTCCGCAACATTATCTGGGTATATGTCTTTACTCCACGATGCGTTACCGGCTGCATCCCAACCATGATCAAATGGACTGCCAATGCCTAACTGCAACTGGTGTGCATTTCTGTAAATGTTTGCAACATAAGCTGATCTAGCTAACTGCGAAAGTAGTTTGGCATCACACGGTGGCATTAAACTGAGGTCAGCAGCTTTCCCAGGGATGTGCCGATTGGGCCAAATTTCAACATATTTCAACATAGTTTGACCAAATTTAAACATATAATTCATTCATTTTATTGGTCATGGCTGGTAATAGTCAACTTTCTTTTTTGTAATACACTCCTTTTTATAAAAACAATTTTAAAGGAACACGAGCCTAAAATTGGTCAAAAGTTAAAAACAAATCAAGAACAAGCTGAGGCTGAACTACTGTAAAATACAATTTTGAACAACGTTTTATAAAAAAAACGAGGATATTTAGCCATATGTGGGTTCTTTTTCAGTGAATATTCAAACCTGTGGGCAAATGAAGGCTGTCTCACTCACTTTGTTGGCCTGAACACCTCCCTTGAGCGAAAACGCTAGCAATCACACTGCTTACAACCTATTAAGAACAAAATAAGAACAATCCACCCTCATACTTTTGAAAAAACATTCAACCTGAACTCGAATTCACTGGTTCGTACAAAAAAGAGTGTTTTGCAAATAACATGCTATAAGTAGCAAGCTAACGACTATAAGAAATGACTGCAAGAAATAACTGCAAGAAGTTTTCTGAGATGCATCTTTAGCTAATGTGAAGGGTGTGGTCGCAAACATTTTCTGCTCGCACCGCTCGCAAGGGGAACCATCTTTCCATTTTGCCCCAGAGCCTCTGAAACCTCTCGTCGGCCTCTAGCCATATTTGCCCTTCAATTCTTATAAAACTTTATAGATTAGAGGACATTTTATATGCTAAAACTATTGTTATGTGGAGCTCAAAAGAGCTGCCGTTCATTTTTGCAGATTTCCTTAAAATTGGCTTTTCGCAAAAAGATGCTCATGGATTCACCCAAAAACGCGAACTCCAGGAATATTAGTAGGAGTAATGGATTTGGTAAAGATCAGGATTTGCAATTTCAGTTTCTAAGACAGATAGTTTGTAAGGGTTTGGGAAGCAGTAAGACGGTAGAGCATACCAAAGTTTACAAGATATAGGGAGGAAATCAGTTTTGGCACAGAGTTCATGAATTGGGCAAAGAGACTTGGAAAGGGTGTGCATTTGAAGAGTATCTGGTATGTATCCGTATTATGTACATATCTCAGGGGACCTGGGATCATATGTCCGATCTGATGAAAGCAATGTCCCTGCTAAAATGGCAACACAGCACCGAGCACCCGACTAGAAAGAGGCTAAAGACACTTTGATTGGCATTGGATTGGAATTCGTCAAGGAAGCACAAGCAAGATTTTGGAGCACGACCCCAATTATGATAGCAGTATTTCACGGAAGGACAAATTCAAGGCCTATAAATAATTTAGAGTTGTGATGTATAGAAGAATCCAAATGCACTAGAGAGAAACCTAAGTTTTTTAGAGGGATGTTTTGAATCTGAAGAAATTTAGATTTCAAATTAAGATTACATGAACAAGAAAGGCCTAATTGTGACAAAGAAGTAGAAATGCTCAAATCGGTACCCTTCTTATGATAAGTAGAAAGTGTAAAACCACTTAAAAGGGGGTTTTACCAACGTGAGCTCGTTGTAGGCAGAAATGCTAAAAAATACGGCAACGGCGGATAAAATCAAAATTTTTCTTTTTACGGCCATGATTCGACTAACGACTGAAAACAACAAGTTCGACAAATAACGGCACGGCCTCAACAGGCACGACAAACTAACAACAGAGCTTCTAGCAGAGGACAAAAGTTTCGACAAGATTAAACTTAATTTATGAAACAACCCTTTAAATACCCTTAGCAGAACCTTGAAATAATAATTACGTAATACAAAAGAACCTATTTACAGCACAATGATGCAACTGTCACGTTATGTTGTCCGTAAAGGAACCTGTGTCGTAATAAAAGTCATGGTTGCGTTTGCGTGAAATGACAGCTTTTTATCTCTATCCCCTTTTTGCCATGTCATCGGTAAGAAGTGAGGTCGAAATAGTTCTGTGAAGGGTTGTTGATAAAATAATCATGGTGAGAATAGAGGAGAAAGGAGTGCTCAGATCAGTGTCATTGGCAAAATAATGAATACTTGTAGCGGTGGAAGTTATTAGATCATTTTTTACTAGGATTAACAAAATAGGAGATATGGAAGAATCCTGTGGAGAACCAGCAATCATTGAGCGGAGACGTCAACGCTAACGGCTATAGGATTGTCAGAGAGTAGGCTGTCAAACCAATTTATAAGGGTTTTAATGCAGACTATACTTAGGGAGATATGAAAATACTTTTGTGCCAGACACGATCAAAGGCTTTGGAAATGTCAAGAAATATTACTCTACTCTCACCAATGGATTCCAGGGCAGTAAGATACTTTGGCCCATATCTGTGGAGCAAATTAAAGAGAGCTATCAAGGAGGTGACAACAATAACCCAATTCAAGAAATGTATAAGAAGAATGGACTTAGAAACTCTTTTAGACTGCAGACTTTAGTTTAGTTGTACATAGGATTTTTAGAAGTTTTTATGTTTTAATAATTATACTGTAATTTCATATTTTATGCTCTAATTTAACTTTATATACTTTTTTCGTTGTGTCCCCAATTAGCTTGTAAACTAAATATTTTTTGACACATTAATA